TAGCCTATTCGGACATCGAATTTGAACCACCCTGTACAATATGATTCGATTCAACTTTTATCTGGGACATTTTTTGAAAAACTCAATCATAATTCGGCTATGGACCGAGACAACTTAGGTGGGACACCCTGTTATAGTAGAGTGATAGATTTTAAATTTTGTGAAAGTTTATAAAACTAGTATTTAGTACCTATTATTTTTTAAATTTTAGTAACTGTTCCAAAGAATAACATACAAATATTTGTTCCAAAGTAACAGTTACAATAAGTATTGGTTAACATCTCTAATAGTTATTTACCATATGCATTATGTGATGTGATAAAGGAAAAATTTGAGTTGCTTCTAGAATACATTTCATAACATCTGCAGGTTGATCTAAAGCCAGGTACAATTCAGCGAGTAATAACCAAATTTCGAGGAGTAACATCCAAGCTCTTTGTGGTCCNTGTACAATATGATTCGATTCAACTTTTATCTGGAACATTTTTTGAAAAACTCAATCATAATTCGGCTATGGACCGAGGCAACTTAGGTGGGACACCCTGCTATAGTAGAGTGATAGATTTTAAATTTTGTGAAAGTTTATAAAACTAGTATTTAGTACCCATTATTTTTTAAATTTTAGTAACTGTTCCAAAGAATAACATACAAATATTTGTTCCAAAGTAACAGTTACTAATCGTTATTTACCATATGCATTATGTGATGTGATAAAGGAAAAATTTGAGTTGCTTCTAGAATACATTTCATAACATCTGCAGGTTGATCTAAAGCCAGGTACAATTCAGCGAGTAATAACCAAATTTCGAGGAGTAACATCCAAGCTCTTTGTGGTCCCGGACGCGGGCTAAAACTACTCATAGAACTTGCAACTTCACTTAAAGCTTGCTCAACTCGAGATGCAGCAACACTATGAGCTTGTAAAGAACTTGTGTCTTTATCGGACATTTCCGATGTGTATAATTGGAAGACTGAACGAGTATCGCTTTTTCTATCACATTCTGGAACGTCTGAAATCGTTTGACCTTCATAAAGGGTTTTCCACATTTCCAACATTTGTTTAGCCGTAGTTAAAGCTCTCTAAAAAAATCATTAATCAATTAATAATTATTTAAAATAAATTAAAAACGTACATCTCCACCATATTCATGTAGCTCTAAATGCGCTTTAACATACATTAAATTCAAACAATCAGGATATTCTTGAAGTGCCGCCTCAACCACAACTAAAGCCTCTTCATGTTGTCGGTTAGCTGATAAAAGTAACGTTAAAAGATGTAAAGTTGAAGAACTTTCAGGTCGTAAATCTAAAGCTGTTTGTACGTGATGTAAAGCTTCGCGAATTTGACCCACCAACGCTAATTGTAAACCTAAATAATATTCGGCTAAATTATCATTAGGTTCCAATTGAACAGCGCTTTGAAAATTATCCAAAGCAGTACTGTTTAAATTAATTTTTTCTTTTTTAATGTTATTTATTTGAGCTTGTAATTGATAACCTATCCCAATATAGAGATGACAACGACCCAATAGACCACTCAGATGGATTCTTTCCACTTCTAAAGCGGCTTCGCTTAATTTTGTTCCTTCAACGGGGTCGTTTAAATGTTCATAACAAAGTTTTGCGGCCAAAAGGTTGTTTATCGATTTCGTCGGTTCTAAACGAATCACTTCTTTTAAAACCGACAAAGCATGTTCGTTACGTCCCATTGAGATTAAACTTAAAGCGTGTTGTTTCCATAAATGCGGTTCGTCGAACGAAAATTTCATCGCTCGTTCCAAAGACTAATAAAAGATTAATCAATTTTAAATTAAATAAATTAATATTTCATTAATACATTGTTTTGTTTACTTGATTACCTCTTGTAATAAACTAACTTGGCCCCATTTAACTGTTGCTAAAGTTAATAAATCATAAACTGCGGCCGCATCTTGAAACGCGCTCCTCCTAGCATCTTTAAACTCGGGACTTTGCGATAAAACCGCGTTTCGAACTGCAATAGCCTCAGCGATTAATAGAACCAAAATCGTTTCTTCGTACTTGTTTTTTGGGATAAACTGATTTAGGTTTGAGTACTGTTTTGGCTTCCACGCTGAATCCCGATTAAAAGCCCCCGGTTGCTTGTAATCTAAATCGTTAAAACCTTGTAGAAATAATTCGGCGAGATGACAAAGCAATTTTAAACGTGCTGTGTGTACTCCTTGGCTTTCAACTGCCATTAGAGAAGATCGGTAACGTTCTATAGCATCTAACGGGGTATTTTTACGAAGGAGTATTACTGGAGATTCTTGTAGAGCTTGTTCGAGTACTAAAGACATGGTTTTGTGGACTATTGGTGGTAATGGGGAATTGGTACCTTAAAAAAGAAAGATTTTGAGGTTACAAACAATACAAATTTATTATTATTTAATCAGTTCGGGGAACAAATTTAACCACATATACTAGAGTGAAAATGATGACGATTCATGTAAAAAAAATTAGTAAAAGTCCCCAAATTTCGAAGATCCAGGCCATCAAAGTTATGAAATTTTAACACATTTTTCTGAATATCTTAAACACTATTTATGGTAATGTGCTGAAATTTGGTACAGTATAAACTAATATCACGTAAAACCATTGGGTAATTTATAAATTGGATCGGTCGCGGGAACAATGCTATACAGGATGTTCCTAAAATTTGTTTGCTCAGAACTTTTTTATTCGATCGTAACCCTACATTTATTTTTACAGTTTCTAATAGAAAATTTATTTTAGAAACTTTTATTACTCTTAGATAATATTGATAAAAATCACCGTTTTCGTGTTAAATGCAAAAATGTTAGGGTCCGATTTCAATAACACTAAAAAAAAAATCTAAGTCGGCCATGACAAGTGCAAATCGAGCTGAGCCGTCATAAATATTATGTATGTAACATTTCCAAGTGTAGATTAGGTAGATCCCTTTTTAATTTGTTTTAGTTGATTTAATAAAAGATAATACAAAACAATAAATTTAATTTTAACGACAACGCTAACAGGAAAAATAAAACAAATACATAAAATAACAAGACAAATGTTGATGGTATGTAGGGCCATCAAGTCTTGACGGCAAGAAAACGGGACCAACAATGACATCCCTCACAATCCCAGCCCAAACATTGAAAGAAAATCTCCATTGAGATTTCCAAGTTTTTGAAAAAAGTAGATTCATCGGTGAAAAGTATTTTTTCTAAAAACTGATTATCAATTTGTATTTTCTGTTGGATTTTCTGGCAATATTCCAATCTAATTGGATAATCGGTAACTGTACTTCCTGAACCTTACAGCAGTGAAAAAGCTGCTGCTCTCGAAGAATACGTCGTTTTTGACGTCTCAAATCGCCTAGCCATGTCCGAAGTACTAGTGGTACTATTTTCTTCCGCATGTTCTAAAATTAACTCTTCCAATTGAGGAGTTCGAACAGATCTAGGGTTGCCGTTGTTCAGAAAGATATGTTTTAGTGATCCATTTTCTCTTAATCGGGCTTCAATTCGAGAAAACGTTTTTCTGTTGGGGGTTCTACGATTCGGGAATTTTTGCCGATAACGGAATTTCCAAGACATTCACCCAATGTTAAAAGCATATCGGTTTGTTCTCCAAACGTGTAATTTTCCATTTCGAACACTACAAGGTTTTTAGTATTTGTTTAAACGACTAAGCGTGTTTACAACTGTTAATGAATTCGTTTGTTAATTGTCATGGCAGACTTAGACTTTTTTCTTAGTGTTATTGAAATGGGAGCCTACCATTTTTGCATTTAACACGAAAACGGTGATTTTTATGAATATTATCTAAGAGTGATAAAAGCTTCTAGAATAAATTTTCTATTAGAAACTGCAAAAATAAATGTAGGGTTACGATCGAACAAAAAAGTTCTGAGCAAACAAATTTTAGGGACTCCCTGTATAGCATGGTTGCCGCCGCCCGATCAAAGTCAAAATTGGTTCAATGATTTTGCTTGATATTTGTTTACCCTGTACCAAATTTCAACACTCTATCATAAATGGTATTGAAAATATTTAGAAAAATGTGTTAAAATTTTTGAACTTTAATGGCCCATATCTTGGCCATTTGAAGACTTTTATAATAAATTTTTATCACCAATCGTCATCATTTTTGCTCTAGTATATGAGGTTAATTTTATTCCCCGAGTCACCGGAACACCCTGTATATCGTTTATAGATGATATAAATAATGTAAAATAGTGTGAACAGTTCAATATTTTTGATATTGATAATATAAACATATTAGTAATATAAAATAAATCATACACGCGATTTATAACAGTAAATACGAGTGTGAAGTTGGCCATAGATTTCAGCCATAGATTTTAAACTGAAAAAAATGCGTGATCGGGGTATTCAATCGATCTAATTTCAACGGCATCGTATTCATGGTGGCCTCTTGTTTCAGATTCGAAAAGAAAATTTTCCTAACCATTTCCTATATTTCGGGAAAATCGTTTTTCTTCAAACTTCGAATTGTGGTATTTATGTCATTTATTATTGCGACGTTTTAATAAACGAGTTAGAATGGGAAGAAATTAATCCAGATAAATATAGAATACAAATAAAAAATTATATATCTCAAAATTCTGACAATATTTCCAAGCTTTGTTTATACTGTGGCGATGCAGCAAAAGATATTTATTGTCAATTATGTCATAGATATTGTTGTAACGTTTGCGTAAATAATGATAAATACATAAATATATGTGAATTGTGTGAATGTAAATAAATGTTATGTATACAGGGTGATTCACATAAGAACCGACACAGAGCAGGGACATGTAGAGGACAACAAAGTAAGACGATTTAACGCAACTTATCTCTATACTAAGTTGTACCCTTGAGAAGTTGTTAGGCCTTCAAAGTTGGCTCTTAAATTTTTAAAATATTGAATATCTTCGTAATACATTAAGCTAGAAAAACCAAATTTGGTATACGATATGAGTGTATCAAGGGTATTAATTGGTAGCAAGTTGAGACCAATTGAGGCATTTCAAAGGGTTGATTAAGGATGATGGTCTTTTAAATTTTGACAGATTTTTTTAATCTTTTGGTGGATTTAATACATTATTACCTCATTTTATGTGAAAATTAATTCTAAAACTTTTTTTACTCTTATTATTTATTAAAAAACATTCTCGTTTTCATAAAAAACTGAAATAACTAAAGACAGGTATTTCGTTAATGCTACTTAAAATCATCGAAAAGTCAGTAGTCGGCTGTGAAATTGTATGTCAAACTTGACAAATAGGTTATAAAACCTTGTTGTCAAATAACTTTATAACCTATTTGTCCAGTTTGACGTACAATTTCATAGCCGACTACTAAATTTTCGCTTCTTTTAAGTAAAATTACGAAATAAGTGTCTTTAGTTATTTAAGTTTTTTATGAAAACGACAAAGTTTTTTAAAAAATAATAAGAGTAAGAAAAGTTTTAGAATTAAATTCTACATGAAATGAAGTAGTAATTTATTAAATCCGCCAAAAGGTTAAGAAAATCTGTCAAAATTTATGGTACCATCACCCTTAATCAACCCTTTGAAATGCCTCAATTGAGTTCAATTTGCTACCAATTAATATCCTTGGTACACTCATAACGTATACCAAATTTGGTTGTTCTAGCTTAATTTATTACGAAGATATTGAACTTTTTAAAAATTTAAGAGCCAACTTTGAAGGCCTATAACTTCTCAGGTGTACAACTTAGTATAGAGGTAAGTTACTTTAAATCATCTTAATTTATTGTCGTCTACATGTCCCTGCTCTGTGTCGGTTCTTATGTGAATCACCCTGTATAAACATATTAATAATATACCGGTGTCCCTCAGAAGTGGCTCACCCCCATATTTTTTTTTTATTATTAGTGATATAAGAAAACCATTTGAAATGCGTAATTAGGCCGTTGAAACGGATTATTACGACATGAAATCATTTACTTTGTACTTCCGGTTATACCGGATGTGAGTACTAATTTCGCTATTTTTTTAAACTTACAAATTTTTTTTCTTCAATTGGGTAGACAGCATAATTTCATATAACTTTTACTTGAAAAAATTTTCACGATCGTTTTCATTGTTTTTTAACGTTTTAGTACCTTTGGAAAATGTACTATAACTTTTGACGCATAGTAGCTACGTTAATAGTATAAATTACGCTGTGTCCCTCTTGATTTACTATTTCTCGAGCAGCGATCACTGCTATGCTTTAGTCAGTGGTTCTTTTTTAATAATGGTGTAAGTTAACAGTTGTACTAAATTAGTTTTAAAAGAAAATCGCGAATAAACACGTGAGGCAATAGAAAATTTATTTTCTAATGCCTTACGAGACCAAATGAAAGATCAAAAATAATTGAATTAAACTTAATTGTTTGTTTGCATTTTTCTTTTAAAGCTAATTTAATACAACTGTATTAAAAAAACACGATAACATAAGAACCACTGACTGAAGCATACCAGTGATCACTGCTCGAGAAATAGCAAATCAAGAGGAACATATCGTAATTTATACTATTAACCTAGCTACTATGCGTCAAAAGTTGTAATACATTTTCCGAAGGTACTAAAACGCTAAAAAATAACGAAAATAATTTTTTTTTCAAAAATTAGGAGCAATCGTGAAAATTTTTTTAAGTAAAAGTTATGTGAAATTATGCTGTCTATCCAACTCACTTCCGGTATGACCGGAAACACAGAGAGAATGATTTCATGTCGTAATAATCCGTTTTAACGACCTAATTATGCATTCCAAATAGTTTTCTTATATCACTAATAATAAAAAAAAATATGGGGGTGAGCCACTTCTGAGGGACACCCAGTATATGTGAAGTTGGCCGTAGATTTTAAACTGAAAAAAATGCGTGATCGGGGTATTCAATCGATCTAATTTCAACCGCATCGTATTCATGGTGGCCTCTTGTTTCAGATTCGAAAAGAAAATTTTCCTAACCATTTCTTATTTTTCGGGAAAATCGATTTTCTTCAAACTTTCGCAAAATTGGGCTCGTTCGGGGTTTTTAATCGATCTAATTTCAACGGCATCGTATTGCTGATGTCCTTTTACTTCAGATTCAAAAAGAAAATTTTCCTAACCATTTCTTATATTCCTGGAAAATCGTTTTTCTTCCCAACCCCGATCACGCATTTTTTTCAGTTTAAAATCTATGGCTGAAATCTATGGCCAACTTCACACGCGTACAATAAATAACAATTCACCAATTCGTAATTGCTGTTATTACGAAGTAAGTAAATCGGAATGCGCAATAATGTGTGTGAAATAAAAATAAACAATTAAGTCAATAACATGGAAAAGTTTACTCGAAAAAACAGATATGGAATTCTCCCAGTTAAATTCCTTAAAAAAAAAGAACGAACACTTTCCGCCGAACTTAAAAAGGAAATCGAACAAATAAAGAAGCAACGCACTAAAGATGAAGCTACTTTTCAGAAACAAATTGATGACCTGATAATAAAACAAGTTAAGGCCCACTTTTACCATCCTCATGATAAACAATCTAGAGGATAGTTGCCATGGTTACGGCGGTTTCAAACACTCGCATTGGCTAAGAGCTGTCGTTTTTGAAATAACCACATGCTACTAAACCGCGATTTTCCGCCAAACTATATGGAATATCGAAAAAATAAAATGTGCCCCACATTAAGAATACATCGGTTTACCAGCAGTTCAAATTTGAAATTTTTTCATCAAATAGTTTTGGAGAAAAAAAATCGCAAAGTAGTCAAAGTTGCTGGCGCTTTCAAAAATCGGGTACTTTTGTCACTTAACTCGCGATAAAAGAAAAACAGCGGGCCCGAAAATTTTCAAATTAACTTATTATACGCAGAAATGTTCACTGATTACAATAAACTTTACTGCAATTTTTTCCATCGAGCGGTTACGAAGATATCGATCTCTAAAGGATTCAAACGCGAGGAATAGTGCGGAATTATAACAAAAACAATAATACCCTAAACGTGTGTTCCGCGTATTGCAGTGTGCGCGTTTTTGTGTTTTGGTCTTAAAACATTAAAAATATGACAATATTCATCTGAAAGCTGCAAAACATTATCTAGTTTAATTTGGTGTTAAAAATAAGTAACTAATTAGTATGTATTTACTAGGTGTTATACAATTGTGCTAAGCATAATATAGAAATTTAAAAAAAATTATTTAATTATTTACCTCCACTTGTTAATGCAGAAGTTTGTTGTTTTTCTAATTCTTGCATATATAACAACCCCAAATCTGAAGCAATATCAAAACAATGACTTATTTCATCGTCTTGTTCAGCTTGTTTAAATTTCGATAAAGCAGTTTGATTTCTATTTAAACATAATCCTTTAATAGCAAAAGATTCAGCAACAATTTTTAAACTACGTAAAGGAAGCTTTTTTTCTGATAATGAATTTAATTCTGCTAATTTATAACTGTTTAAACTCTGTTCGTATTGTCCACAAGCGAAATAAAGTTTTCCAAGTAATAAGTGTGCATCTAAAGCGACCCCCGCTTTCTTTCCTTTCTCATCAGAAGCAATTTGTAAATTTCTTCTTGCTTCCATAAGGTTTAATTTCGCCTTGTTTACGTTTGTTTCGATTGGGGCCCATTCTTCTAAATAACTTTCTAAACGACCCTCACCAATTAAAAATTGTGATAAATATTCTAAAAATATTGTTCGTTATTCGGGGAAAAATAATTGAGGTTATGTTACCATATTCGGGGGATTTTTCTCTGAGCTGTTCAGCTAATTCTATTACTTTCGACCAATTTGATTCTTCCCTATTCTTTTCGATTTCCGCTTCTATACGTAAAGTTACAACTTTAGCACGTCCGGTCATATTTTTTTAATAATTAGTAATTATTTTTATTAACCATGAAATGAACATAACCTCCAACTACTGCGAAACGTCAAATTGACATCTCGAATTTATTGATTTTACTTTTTAAAAAGAAGTTTTCCTTGAACTTTATTGTAATTTTGTTGTTATTTGATTTATTCAGATTTTTAAATTTAGTTATGACGTGATGCATTAAAATTTAAAAAAAAACCTTAAAAATAATCATTGTATTTACATATTGAGATTTCTCGATCGACGTCATCGGTATAATGGGTTGCATAAACATTTCTTTTTATTTGTACAGATTGTTGCTGTTTTACCAGTTGAACGAGTTAAAAAAGTGCTGAGAGTTGAGATTCGAGCAAGTAAAGGTCAAAGTAATGATTAAAAGTTATTATGTAGCTTATTTCGTGGTTTTCTCGAATTTAAGTATTTATATTTATCTTCAATATTAATGAAGTTACAGTCAACTTCCGGTTAAGAATGTCAACGCCAATTTTAACATATTTGTAATCGTCGTGAAAAATCCTTTAAAATGAGTACAAACACGACATATTTATCTTCAATATTAACGAAGTTATGGTCAACTTCCGGTTAAGAATGTCAACGACGTTTCAAACCGGAAGTGATTGTATCTCCATTAATATCAAAGTTAAATATGTCGAGTTTGGACTCATTTTAAATGATTTTTTATGAAGTTGACAAATATGTCAAAATTAATAGTTGAAAATTCGAACTTGAACATAACCTTCAACTACTGCGAAACGTCAAATTGACATCTCGAATGTATTGATTTTACTTTTTAAAAAGAAGTTTTGCACTTTATTATAATTTTGTTGTTATTTGGTTTATTAAGATTTTTAAATTTAGATATGATGCATTAATATTTAAAAAAAAAACCTTAAAAATAATCACTATTTACATAATGAGACTTCTCGATTGACGTCATGGGTATAATGGGTTGCATAAACATTTCTTTTTTTATTTGTACAGATTGTTGCTGTTTAACCAGTTTTACCATATTGTATTATCTCTGTAGCGGTTGAACGAGCTAAGAAGATGCTGAGAGTTGATGGAGTTGAGATTCGAGCAAGTAAAGGTCAAAGTAATGCTTAAAAGTTATTATGTAGCTTATTTCATAGTTTTCTCGAATTTAAGTAGTGTTTTTAGTGTGTTTAAGTAACGTAACCTCAAAATATTTTTAAATATCGTGAAGTGAACCAATAAAAAGAATTGTTTATGGATTAAAACAACGTGGTAGTTTCTAAATAAGGTAATAAGAATTGTTTTTTAACAATTTATTAAAAAGAAATGACCAAAAATGAAAACTTTCCCCATTTTGATAGAACACTTTCTTGGAAATTTTCGTCGTCATCATCTCAACAAAAACCCGTTTTATTAACCAAATTAACATCTTTGTTATTCTCTTTTATTTGTGACCTCTAAAAGACACTGATAACTTTACAATGGCGTTAAAATTCGATACATTTATGTAAACATATGTAAAAAAATATTTACGCCTTACTATAAATACTCTTTGATAGCAGTTTTCCTGTTGCGATAGCAAAAATTAAACACAACAATATATTTGATTTAATTGTTACGTTTTTAAACAGATAATTTAATCCGTTTCTTTAAGGTTAGATTTTTCAAAAACGTCATTTTGACGTTTAATTCTATTTTTGAGGTTAAAATTGAATAAACATTAAAAATACTTACTTTTCGTCAAGGAATTCGGTTCTTGGAAGCACAAATAAATGTTTTATGTAAAAACAAGGTTGGGTTTTATCTTTATCTTATCAATAATTGATAAATTCTTGATATAAAACAGAATTAAAATGGAAAACATTTGAGGGTTTAATTCGAAGAATTTTGGAAAAACCCAAAGGTGTTTATGCTTCGAATTCCTAACGGTTTTATGCTAAAAACTTATTTTAGAAACCGATACACGTTGAATTGACTGCGTGATCGGAAATTTTTCAAAGTATTATTTGAAATGACATTTAATGAAAACAGTGTTACCATATCTGTTAATTTTTAAAACGAAAATATCACTTAACATAAGTTTACTATTTTTTTGTATAATTTAAAACCCAAATGTTTTTAATTCTAGGTCTAGTGTTAGTTCTAGTTTTGTTTCAATACAAGTATACAACGCTGTATAACATCTAAAACTAGACCTAACACAAGACACACAACTTATCATGTATCATTTTGAAGCAAATACTTTAAGCTTTAATTTGAATTAGTAGATGATTCTTTTAAGATAACACAAGACAATTAATCTTCATTTAGACGAAAATTTAAATTTTACATTTAAATGTTATTTTTGACATTTTGCTCACCCCCATCTAGCGTCAATTTTTTAATTTATTTTTTAATTTTCTAAAAAAACTTCGATTCAATAAATTATATTGATTGAAAATAAAAGGAAAGGAAATTAATCTTTGTTTAGGAGAAAATTTCAAATTTTTACATTTAATTTTATTTAAATCTTAAAAAAAAAAAGTCCTTTTTTACACTAACGCCATCTAGCGTTAATCACCTACGTTAAATCATATTTGACATATTTTAAAACCGTCGATTTACTTCTTGTTAATATTATCGAGTTTTATTAAAAAAATGAGTTCAAATGAACCCAAAAAAACATTAAAATACGTTTTTGGACTCCCAAAGTATGTGTTTAAAGTGAGTAAAATGAGTAAAACCTTTATTTTTATATCCGAGAGATAATTTTTGATAAGAAAGTTACTCATTCGTGATAAACACACCTAACTAACAACATTATTAATTTTAATCATATTAATTCATATTTATCGTTATGTTTTAGTGATATACAATAAGAACATGTTATCGTCCAAGTTTTTCATGTTAATATTGTTCTTAAAACTTGCATCTGGTGTAGAAGAAGCAAAAAATTCTTGTGATAAATGTTACTGTGGAAATTGGAACGAATTAAACGTAGAAAAGAAGATTATATGTCCAGATTACTACGATCCCTTGGTTGAAATCAGTTATAAGCCGCCCGAAAAGCTGCGAATACAATGCTACAATAATTTAACAAACATCGATGAGCTTGAGTTTAATTTTGGTGAAGTTTCTTACGTTGAAATTGAAGACTGTCTATTAAAGAATCGTTTAAGCATTTTTGAGAAATGGAATTTAACGAATGTGAAAAATTTAATGATGAAAAGAACTTATTATGTGAACTCAAACAATGTGCTTCGTAAGGATTTATTTGAAAAGACCAAAAAAGAAACGTTTGAAAACATTTATATACACTCTTGTGAATACGAAGCGATCGAAGAAGATGTTTTTGATGGATTTATCAACTTAATAACAATAAAAATAGAATTTAATTTTTTAAGAGAAGTTTTAAATATTTTTAAATACTCACCAAAGATAGAGAAGGTTTCGTTTCAAAGCAATCAAATTGATTCAATTCCAAACGGAATAAACGCCCCAAATTTAATTACTTTGCATTTAAACAATAACAAATTAAAAAATTTAAGCGAAAATTTCTTTTTAAATAGTCCAAATATAAGTTTATTGGAATTAAGTGCCAATCCCATTGGATATTTACCGGATAATCTTTTATTTAATCTAAAAAATTTAAAACGTATTAGCATTGGATTTGAAGGCGATGATATAAAATTAAATAATTTATTCCAAGAGAATCAGAAACTACTTACTGTCAAATTTCGTGGAGGAAATATCACTTTATCATCGAATTTATTTAAAAACTTAAATAACTTGGAAAGCCTTTTTATATACAATTCGAAATTAAAAGAATTACCAAAAGATTTATTTAAAAACACAACCAACATTAATTCAATCACAATTAGAGAAGCCGGTTTAACAACACTCCCAAATGGAATATTCTCCGATTTAAATCGTTTAAAATCGCTTGATCTATCTTCAAATAAACTAACCGAGTGGAAATACGAATATTACGCGAGAAAATTACCAAAATTGGAAACATTAAACTTGGATAACAACGAATTGAAAATAATTGGACAATCCTCTTTTATGAATTTGCCCGAATTACAAACACTTCAAATGAATTCTAATAAAATAACGAGTTTGTTACGCGAAGCTTTTGATATCAACAATAAATTAGTAAAATTAGAACTTAACAACAACAATTTATCGGAAGATGAAGATAGTTTTAATTATTTACGAAGTATGGAAACTTTAAAAATTAATAACAATAGTTTCAGCGAATTTCCTGATGTAAACAGTCATGTACAACTTAAAATGATGGAAATGAAGTATAATAAACTTAGACGATTTGATGTAAGTAAATTTAATTATTTAAACATAACCTCAAATTGTAACATAACCTCAAATTGTGACATAACCTAAAATAGTGACATAACCTATAATAAATTAATCTTTATTTTCCTTTATAATTTAATTGAACCGCGTTATGCATCACTTGACTAAGCGTCAAATGAACAATGTTGAGAAAAACGAGTAATCGAATAATCGTCAAAATACGAATGTTTATGTAAATACAGAAGTATTTAATTAGATATATATGTATATAAATCCTTAAATATAGATATTTATTTACACTGTTTATTTATACATGTTTTTGACACACAAATGTCATCATCTAAAGTTAAACGTCATTTTGACGTTTAAATTTACAACACATTTCCCTAAAATGGTACCAACCTAAATTTTTGGATATCTTTTGGTGAATGTCGAATATTTCTTGTCGATTTTTTTAATAACTGTTTTTATTTATATATATCTCGCTACTTTTAGTATTTCAGTAACGTTCTTTACATTAAATTAACTGATCTTGGAGGTTTTTGAGATTTAGGTTTTTAACGATGTTGATGTTTAATTGTCAAATTGACGTTTAAAAGTCAAATATGTAATTGTGAATTTTATTATTTACTTTTATGTATTAAATCTATTAGGTCTGAAGACGCACGGCTAAACCCGATACTTTCTAGTTATAGGTCTAGGGGAAATGACTCAAAAGAGGCGTTACTGATAAAAAAAAGTGCGCAAAAGTGCAGTACTTACCGAAAAATCACTATAAAGTTGCGATTTGCCCGATTCGAAATCTCTTACGTGTCTTATTAACTTTATAATTTTTATATGATATTGAAAATAGCATCTTTTATCTTCAATTTGTGATATAAATCGTTTCTTAACTCCTTTAAATAAAGTCAATGAAGTTTTAAATTTTGACGTTTCGAACATATCCTAATTCCACTTAATTCCTTTTAAAGAACTTTTTTTACAAAATTTTTATCATTAACACGGCAATTTTTATATCATACCTTAAAATATCGTCTGTCATCTTCAATTTGTGATATAAATCGTTTCTTAACTTCAATAAATAAACTCAATGAGATTTGTTCTAATTTTGACGTTTTCGAACGTATTCAACTTAATTCCTTCTATACAAATTTTTATTATTAACTTAATAATTTTTATATGATATTGAAAATAGCATCTTTTATCTTCAATTTGTGATATAACTCGTTTCTTAACTCCTTTAAATAAAGTCAATGAAGTTTTCTTAAATTTTGACGTTTCGAACATATCCTAATTCCACTTAATTCCTTTTAAAGAACTTTTTTTATAAAATTTTTATCATTAACACGGCAATTTTTATATCATACCTTAAAATATCATTTGTCATCTTCAATTTGTGATATAAATCGTTTCTTAACTTCAATAAATAAACTCAATGAGATTTGTTCTAATTTTGACGTTTTCGAACGTATTCAACGTAATTCCTTCTATACAAATTTCTATTATTAACTTAATAATTTTTATATGATATTGAAAATAGCATCTTTTATCTGCAATTTGTGATATAAATCGTTTCTTAACTCCAATAAATTGACTCAACGAGTGTTTTTTTTTTTAATTTTGACGTTTACGAGCGTATCCTAATTCAACTTAATTGTTTTTAAAGTCCTTTTCTGCAGAAATTTTTATTATAAACTCAACAATTTTTATATGATATTCAATATAGCATCTTTTATCTTCAATTTGTAACATAAATCATTTCTTAATTCCAATAAATAATGTCAATGAGGTTTTTTTAAATTCTGACGTTTTCGAACGTATCCTAATTTAACTTAATTCCTTTCAAAGAACTTTTTTTACAAATTTTTATCATTAACACGGCAATTTTTATATCATACCTTAAAATATCGTCTTTTATCTTCAATTTGTGATATAAATAGTTTCTTAATTCCAATAAATTTACTCAACGAGATTTTTTTTTAATTTTGATGTTTTCGAACGTAACCTAATTCTAACACTTTTTAAATTTGACACAATATGTAACATAGTGATATCTTATGCTAAGTGTCGTATTTAAGTCGCTTCTTCGATGTATGATGCAAATCGGACTTGAAATCGTATAACTTTATCCTTTAAAACAAATAGTATTATAGGTCTTTCGGTATTCCGCATTTTTTCTAATCGTAAGATAAGTTACACGACAAAATGTCGCTTAGTCAAGTGATGTATAACGCGGTCCAATTTATTATTAACTTATTAATTATTATTCTTAAATTTTCAGCTTTTATCAATATTGGCACTACGAAAAGTAGATTTAACCGGTAACTTAATAAATAGACTCGATAATTTCATAATTTTCAACATGTCTACGTTAAATTACCCAAGATCTTACGAACGTGAATTAGTTTTAAATAAAAACCCGATTTGGTGCGATTGCAGCGTTTATAGTCTAATACAATGGATCAATAACGATAATCCTAAATTTAATATGATCATTGATGACTTAAAATGTTCGTATCCACAGAGATTGTCTTCTCGATTTGTAAAAGATATTACCATCCACGATTTAAATTGTAATCTACGATCAAAGACGACTCCACAATATAGTAATCGTTATGATTGCCCAGAAAATTGTACCTGCTTATTATATCCAAGTAATTCCACATTCAACATTGATTGTTCGAATTTGGGTCTTGAATCACAACCAAATTTGGGGTTATTAACCAATAAAAACATCGAAGGAGTTAATTACACAAATTTTTCAGTGGATTTAAGTCGAAATAAAATCCGTACTTTTGATGAAAATGAAGATTACGTGAATGTAACCCGTTTGGATTTATCGAGAAATAATTTGACGATTATTTCGTGGATTCCTAACGATTTAAAGGTTTGAAACTTTCTTGAGTTAATTAAAAAAATGATTTATTTAATATTTTAGGTTCTAAATTTGGAATCGAATAAATTGGAGAATTTTGATGATGACGTTTTGTTCCAATTAAAGAATATTTTATCATTAAAGTCTTTGAATTTAAATGAAAACCCATGGAATTGCGACTGTTCGTTAAATAATTTAACTTTAGCTACTCGAACGAGTTTCCAAAATATTGTAAGTCTCATTAAACATCTTATTAAACCAAGATAACCTCAATTTTTTTTATTTTAGCTTAAAAATCCCGAAAATATTTTATGCAGCGATGGGCGATTATTAATTCAATTAACCGAATCCGAATTGTGTCCCCAAATCGACGTTTTCACGATAATCTTAATATCAATAGCAGCATTCTTTGTTATAACAACGACAATCCTAACCATACTTTATTTCAAACATGAAACAACCATAAAAATTTGGTTATATTCAAACAATATCCTTTTAAAATACGTTTCTGAGCAAGACGCTGATAAGCAAAAAAAATACGACGCATTCGTTTCTTATTCGCATAAAGATGAATCATTTATACTCGAACATCTCATTCCTGAGCTTGAAGGGGGTCCTCAACCATACAAATTATGTTACCACGAACGCGATTGGGAAGTTGGCGAATTTATTAATCGACAAATAATCGATTCGGTTGCAAATTCACGTCGGACTATCATCGTGTTGTCCAAAAATTTCTTAGAAAGTTCTTGGGCTGCCGTTGAATTTCGTACGGCTCATACTCAAGCGATGAATGAAAAATTAAATCGCTTAATTGTTATACTTTACGATGATGTAACTCCCGATGATGTTAAAGACGAGGAATTAAAGACTTATTTAAAAACGACAACTTACATTAAATGGGGTGATCCGTGGTTTTGGAAAAAATTAAAATACGCTATGCCTCATTGCACACCACCAAGTAAAAAACGAAAAGAACAAGATGATAAAATGAAACAGAAAGTTGAAAATGTTATGATTGCGATTGATGATAAGCTAGATTTAACGAACGGGGGCACAACGCCGAATACTCAAACGCCGCCGGCTTTATCTGTTGACCCTTTATTGCTAAAAATTAATCCTTTACAGTTTAAAAGTGATAAAGTGGAGAAAAATCAAGTTTTATCTACTCATATTTGTTGAAAGAATGTGATTTTTTATTGTTTTATGTGATTTATAACCGAACAATTTTTTTTTAGGTTAGGTTTTTTTTTTTTACTTACGATTAATTATGAATAAAACAATCTTTAAGGAATTAAATGTACATAAAATTAACATTAAGGTAATAATATAAGTCAATTACAAGGAAAGGAACAATATTTTATATACTATAATATATTTTAAAGGTATTTTTCGAGAAGTTTATAACGAGTTTGAGTTTCTAAGAAACTTATTTTTATATAAAAACTATTTTTTAAGATAATAAATGTGCATAATGAATCTAATAAAGAGATCTATTTCAGTTATTTACTTGAAGATTAAACTTTTAATTCTAACCTTACTTTTTTGACGTATATTTTTAATTCTAACCTTACTCTTTTTGACGTGTATACATATTTTAATTAATTTCTGCAATTCTTTTTTATTTTTAACGTTTTTAGGGCCACTTCGAATCAATTAAAGAAACGTTAAAATTTTAAAGTGATTTTTCGGTATGTTCTACAGTTTTCTGCAATTTTTTTTATTTTTAACGTTTTTAGGGCCATTTCGAATCGATTTAAAAAAAGCGTCGATTTTTAAGCGACATGATGATTCTTATTTATTTGGCAAGTTGTGATTCTTGGGTGAAATAGGAAAAAAGTTAAATTAAAAATTTTTTTATTAACATAACCTCAAATTTTTCATCATAACAATAAATAGGTAAGAATAATTAACCCTTCGTTCGATTTTCCTTTGGTTTTAGGTACAAATCTACAAATAAATAGCGCGTCCAACAAGGTAAATCCCGCATAAATAAAAAACGCACTTTCCAGGCCAATTCCTTCTTCGATTGACAAAAAACTTTTTGTTATAGCAAACGCTAATAACCAACTCTAATCATTATTAAATGAACTAACTAAGATTTAGTTTGTTGCGGATTAATTTCAGCATGTAACATCAAAGGGATTGGAGCTAAACCTATTAATTCCAAAAGTGAGGTTAAGACATAATTTTTTTGACAGTTTATTGTTGACAACTGATGATCATTATGACCAACCTAAAAGTAATCAAATCGAATTAGCCATATTAAACGTTAATTTTATCAACTATTAAATAAATTAAGTAAATAATTTATTAATTACATTAAATTTATAATCAATAAATTAAAAAATAACATTAATTATAACACAAGTAAGTTTTAAATAAAAAACTGATTAAAAAAATAATTGAGGTTATGTTTACTTTTTTTAGGTTATTCTACAAAGGGAATTATCACAAAAAGTTATCGAAATATTAACAGACAAAGTTGAAAAGCTTTAAGATGGAAATAGTAAAAGCTTACCTTTATTAATAGACAATTATCTTTCTGATATGATTGGGTTACCAATTTATATTCCATGATTAGCTTCTGCAGTAAATTGGGGGCTTAAAAATCGACGAAATTAACGTTAAATGCGAAAATGTATGGCAACATTGCTTGTGACGTCACATTAAAATTTTAAAGTGATTTTTCGGTATGTTCTACAGTTTTCTGTAATTTTTTTTTATTATTAACGTTTTTAGGGCCATTTCGAATCGATTTAAAAAAAAGCGTCGATTTTTAAGCGACATGATGATTCTTATTTATTTGGCAAGTTGTGATTCTTGGGTGAAATAAGAAAAAAGTTAAATTAAAAATTTTTTATTAACATAACCTCAAATTTTTCATCATAACAATAAATAGGTAAGAATAATTAACTCTTCGTTCGATTTTCCTTTAGTTTTAGGTACAAACCTACAAATAAATAGCGCGCCCAAGAAGGTAAATCCCGCATAAATAAAAAACGCACCTTCTGTGACAAATCCTTCTTTGATTGACAAAAAACTTTTTGTTGTAGCAAACGCTAATAACCAACCCCAATAATTATTAAATGAAGTAACTAAGGTTTAGTTTATTGAGGATTAATTTAGGCATTTAATATCAAAGGAATTTGAGTTAAACCTTTTAATTCCAAAAGTGAGGTTAAGGCATAATTTTTTTGACAGTTTGTTGTTGACAACTTTGACAACTCACGGTCATTATGACCAATTTAAAACTGATCTAATCAATTAACATAATCTCAAATTTTTCATCAAATCAATAAATACATACATAGGTACAAATAATTAACGATTAATGAAACTCGCTTGAATCTCTTCGTTCGATTTTCCTTTTCAGACGCACGGCTAAACCCGAACATTTCTAGTTCTAGTGTTAGTTCTAGTTTTATACTAGCACTATCACTAGAACTAACACAAGACCTAGAACTAGAATCATTCGGGTTTAGCCGTCTTGAGAGACGTGCGGCTAAATCCGAATGTTTCTAGTTCTCGGTCTAGTGTTAGTTCTAGTATTACACTAGCACCAGTTCCTTTTCAATTCACGTATGGCAGTATTAAGATTAAACAACATGACAAGGGAAGTGTGTTTTTTACATAAACACATAACACACTAATAATTGCGACACAAAACAGTATGGGTAATAAATAAAATGTTTTTCTCCTCGTTTTAGTGAATAATTTCCAAAAAAACTTGCTTTTTATAACGTCATCACCATCAATATTTATAAACGTACAATAAAACCTCAATAACACAAACATATAATTTAGTTTGAGTAACATCAGTGATTTTTATTATTTATTAGAAACATAGTTTATTTACACTTCACTCAATAAAACACATTAAAAACATAGTTTATTTACACTTCACTCAACAGAACACATTAAAAACAATTCTATCTGACCATCTACATTCTCCAATAATATTTTGAAATTGTTTATTATTCCAATTATAAATCTCTTATCAATTTTCCAATAAAATTTATAGATGCAGCGCACAATTTTTAAAACAGGCTAATAATAACGTCTATTTAAGATAATAATCCGAATATTTTTCGAAGTGTATCAATCATCTTATATACACACTAATCTTTTGAGCATCTTTAAAAATACATCAAAATCATCTCACACTTTAAAATGCGTTGCAAACAATTCCTGGACACATAAAGTTGCTAAAACGTTTTCCAAATAACTGTTAAAAGTGACGCAGAATGTTGGTAATTTCTATGAAAATCGTTCGGTTTAAATAGTTGTAATTTTAGTATTGCATTCTTTGAATTGAAGCGTCTTACACCACAATGGTAAATATGGTAAGTAAATTAATTCGAATTTATTACTGCGTAAAATAATTCATCAACAAATTATTTATTAGCTACCAAATAACCCTCAAAAACCCAAAGATGTACTCAATAAAAACGGTAATAAATCACCACAATTTATTGCAGCCACCTCAGGTAACTTATAAATTTAAAAAACCACATTTTTTAATTTTAATTAAATATATTTTTAGCTTCTTTTGCTGCATTTTCAACCGGAACAATTCTCGGATGGACCTCTCAAATTTCCCCACAACTTTTAAACGGTGAATATGGTTTCCCCATCAACGAAAACCAACTGGGTTGGATTGGAAGTTTAACATCCCTCGGGGCTGCGTTTCTCTGTTTATTTATCGGCCCATTATGTGATTTAATCGGAAGAAAACCCACGAAACTCTTAATGGTTATTCCATTAATTATAGGTTGGGGTTTAATTGCTTGGGCAGAAAACGTAGAAATGTTATATGTCGGTCGATTTTTAACCGGGATGATTGGCGGGGCCTCTTTAGTCACAGCCCCGCTTTATTGCAGCGAAATAAGTGAAAATAAAATAAGAGGAACGTTGGGTTGTTTAACGCAATTAATGATTTCGTTTGGTTTATTTTTTGATGTGATAATAGGGAAATACGCCGATATTAAAACGTATACTCTGTGTTGTTTTGGTGTTCCGTTTGTGTTTATCGCATTTTTTATTTTTATGCCAGAAACTCCGGTTTATTATTTAAAAAAGAATAACGTCGAAGAAGCACGTAAGGTATTATTAAAATTACGAGGAAATAACTACGACATCGAAACAGAAATCATCGAAATAAAACAAAGTTTAGATTTAAGTCGAGGAAATAATTTCATTCAAACGATTAAAGATGCATCGACACGGAGTTCAACCCGAAAAGCTTTCTTAATTACATTCGGCTTAATGAGTTTCCGATTTTTATGTGGCGTCGATTCAATCACCGCATTTACATCTTATATTTTTTTAAATGCTAACGAAAATTTCGACCCTGAAATTGGTCCGATAATCCTCGTAGCCATTCAAGTAATTTTCGGTGTTATCCAATCATCCGTTGTAGACAAAATTGGTCGAAGAATTCTTTTATTACCCTCTCAAATCGCGATCGCAATCTCTTTAACCGCCGTAGCAGTCGGTTTCTTATTAAAAAATCAAAATCTCGTCGATGAAACCGCTTTGGAAATCATCAATTTCATCCCATTAATCGCGTTGGGCGTTTTTTACGTTGGATTTGCGATGGGTTTAGCTCCTATCCCTTTGATGTTAAACGCCGAAATTAATCCGCAAGAAACCAAATCTTTAGTTAGTTCATTTAATAATTGTTGGGGTTGGTTATTAGCGTTTGCTATAACAAAAAGTTTTTTACCAATCCAAGAAGGAATTGGCCCCGAAGGTGCGTTTTTTATTTATGCGGGATTTACCTTTTTGGGCGCGCTTTTTATTTGGGTGTTTGTACCTGAAACTAAAGGAAAATCGAACGAAGAGATTCAAGCGATTTTAATTAAACATTAATTATTCGTACCTATTTATTGTTTTGATAAAAAATTTGAGATTGTTAATAATAAATTTTTAGTTTAAACGTCAATGTGACACAAATTCAGTGTTACTAATTGTAACCAACTTCACAACAATTTGTCAAAATTAAATGTCAATTTTATAAAACGTCGTTTTTTTACGAAAATTAATTAATTTAAGCATAAAAATTAATTAATCATACGAAAAAAGGAATTTGTTTAGGTTTTTTTAATGTAATTATAATTAATTAAGAAAGATAATGCGGAAGTAAATTTGATTCGATCATTTTTTAGGTTGGTCATAATGACCATGGGTTGTCAACAATAAACTGTCAAAAAAAGTATTTCTTAACCTCACTTTTGAAATTAATAGGTTTAACTCAAATCCCTTTGATGTTAAATGCCGAAATTAATCCGCAAAGAACTAAATCTTTACTTAGTTCATTTAATAATTGTTGGGGTTGGTTGTTAGCGTTTGCTATAACAAAAAGTTTTTTGCCAATCGAAGAAGGAATTGGCCCCAAAGGTGCGTTTTTTATTTATGCTGGATTTACCTTTTTGGGCGCACTATTTATTTGGGTGTTTGTACCTGAAACTAAAGGAAAATCGAACGAAAAGTTAATTATTCTTACCTATTTATTGTTTTGATAAAAAATTTGAGGTTATGTTAATAAAAAAATTTGAATTTAACGTTTTTCTAATTTCACCCAAGAATCGCAACGTGTAAAATAATTAACATTCATCATGTAGCCACATTAATCTGCCCCTCAACTCGGGCAGTCTTACAAAACTTTGATTTTATATGAATAACCTGAATTTTTGACGGTAATCATCAGCCCTAGGGATCTTTGATAGGAGAACTTAAGACTGATTGTATGTCGAAATCCTACCGTAAGATGGCATTAGCGTCTAAACTAAAATAATTTAATTAAACTAACAATTTTATTATTAATAGTGGGAATGATGAGAGACACCAATAACAATTATTACCAGCATCATTCTTTTAATTTAAAAAGTATAGATTCCAATTCGTGTTATATTTTTAAATTTGCCGCTAAGAATTTTAAAAGTTGAAGTTTGTTCAGAATGACAGATGAAAACGTCATTTTAAAGTGATTTTTCGGTAAGAGTATAATAAAGTAATAATAGTGTGATGAAATAATTAGATTATAATTGACATTATAGCTTTGTTTCAACTAACGTTATAACTGGTTTTAAGCTCGTCAGATGTAATCTCACATGCCATATGATGCAGTGATATTCAAATGTGGTGGCATTATTTGACAGGTCTAATTGCCATAGGTAATTGCATTTGAGGAATTCCCAACCAGTCGAAACGTTAATTGGAACACTTATTCTGTGGTTGGAGTTTTTATTCATATATATAAACCCAATCCAACCTGTATTCTAGTGGTTCGGTTCTTAGCTGAATAATTCCAAAATATCCCTAACAGATGGCGCTATTTTCTATGATGTTTACTCAGCGGACCTTGATGTTTATTATAAATGTCAAAATCAAAAACATAACCTAAAATTTCAAAAAAAATTATTTTATTTTTTAGTTGATTCAAAAGGTTATAATTTTCTACACACTACAATTAAAAAGGGCGATATTGAAAGCGTTTTATTTTTACTTTCAATTAATGCGAACGTAAATTCGAGGGTTCAAGATACGAGTTTATCTCCGTGTTTATATTTGGCGGCTCAATATGGGACTCTCGTAAGAAGTTTTTTGTAGGCGGTGGCGAGGATTGAAGATGTTGATAGCTCAAAGTTTGTTATTTAACTTTTTATTAATAATATATAGCTGAAAAAAATTTTTTTTTTAGACGAAAATGTTGCTTCGGAATGCGGTAATACCCCGATTGTTGCTGCGATACCTACAAAATCATATTCCTTATAATGCTACGGATACAAACGGAGATAATGCGCTTCATGTTGCGGTTAGGGAAGGTCATTTAAACGTCGTAAGTAGATATTTTTTTTTAGTTAAAAATGTTAGGATTCATTATGAGATCCACGCTAGCTTTTTCTAACATTGAAGCTTGTGCTAACACTTGTATAAATCTAGGATTGAGTATTCAATCTAAATTTCTCAAGTACCTTTGCTTTAAATTTTCCGTTCATTATTATTATTGTGAACTGTAATTTAATTTGTATACAACTGGGTTTAGCTATTAAATCATAGATGTCTCTGTGAAACATTTTGAAAGTGGTAATATTAAACATTAAAAAGACATATATATTAAAGAATTAATTTTATTGTTCAATTGTAATTAAAAAAAATTACATTAATTGATTCATTAACGACCACCAAGACATCTGTCGATGATGCCGCCGATGAAACCATCTTCTTCACCACCATCTCCTTCGTTGATCATTCCCAAAACGACTTCACTAGCGACTTCGTCGATTCTGTCAGCGTTTTCATCAATGATGGTGGCGCCGTTGGCTAAGATATCGGCGCTAACTTCAGCGCTGTAAGCTTCATCGTCACGGACACCAGTGATAACAAACTGTAACATAAAATTAGGTGTAAAAATGCTTCGAGAAGTCGTTAATCAGTTAACTTACGCTATCAAGTGGGTCCATACCAACGATGATGTGGAAGTATTCCAATTTAATTCCACCGAGGATGGTGGCTTTAAGATCGACGGCAGCACGGAAGTTGCGGGCTGAGAAGCTTTAACAAAAAAATATTTAATAAATATTAAGAAATCATTAATTTTCTTACTCCAAAGTTCCAGTTCCCCAAGTGTTGATAGTATCGGAGGTGAGCACGTTGACGTAATTGGTGGAAAGAATTGGATTGGCGAAACGTAAAGTGATTTTGATGGTGTAGCTTGGTGGGATTAAACCAATGGTGCCACTAATTCCATCATAAGTGAAATCAATCAATCCGCTGAAGACTAAGTCGGTAACGGTCAATTCACCACTATTTAAAAAAAAGAAACGATTTAAGCGAATAGTACATTTTTTTCAAAGGAGCAATCTTACGTAACACCATCAAGTCCGAAATCGGCAAAGTTGAAGGTGTGGTCTTCAATTCTGAGTGGGTTCAAATGGGGGATTCCAAAATCTGGCCATCCAACCAACATCTCACCACGAACACATTCGACGGTGTTGATGATAATGTCTTCGAAAGCACGTGGAGCGCTAACGCCTAACAAAAAAAATCGGTTATAAGTAATAATTATGATAAAAAAATCTTACTCTTGGCGAAAGCAGAGTGGCCGAGGGCCAAAAGGGCGACGACGATTAAGCAACGCATCTTGATAGAACTAGAATAAAATTGGAATTAATTATTTACTTCATTTTTATTGTTTGTCTTACCTGATGAAGTAAGAACTGATTTTTGAACATTTTCGTTGGGTTTATATACCAGTAAATTCGGCAGATTCGTTGTTTTGATAGAAGATAAGGAGGTTCAGGTTGCATGATTATCTCTTTTGCAGTTCGAGAGGACTTCAAGATATTTCATCTGATGACCAGATGTTTAGTCAAGGTTGATTAAAGTGTATGTCTTTTTTGATTAACAAAAAAGTATTTGGATAAAAAAAACTCTTTTTTGACTTAAATTTCATAATTAGGTAGTTATTTAGATCCTCTTATTTATTTTAGTAACGGAAAGTTAATTTTAAACTAATTTTTGCATTAAATTTGCGTTAGATTTCGTGATAGAATTGTTTTAGTACGTCAATCAAAGATAAAGATAAAGCACCTTAAATAAATAAATAAATTATGCAATTTATCTTTTTATTAATAGGTACCGTTAAGATCTCGTTTATTTGTGATTATATTTGATTAACCACAATAATTAGAACGTATTGAGAGTGGAAGTTTTATTACATTTTATAGTCAGTTGTCAAATCGAAATCAACATTCTTTTATGACCAGCTGTATAAAACATTATTGTCCCTGTCGAAGTGACAAATCATTTGATTTAAGAAAATTTTCATAATTTTCTTTTTTTTAATTAGGTTAAAGTTAAAATGTTATAAATAGCGACTATATATACACATATATAAATATATACGGTGGTTTTATTCCGATTTAATTTTGTATTTTGTGTTCCGGTTAAACAATAACAGAACGTATCCGCGAAATGACATTTGACATTTGAGAGACATGTAAACCAATGTAAACAATAATAATGAGAAAATAGGAGCTTTAATCGATAACTAACTGTAAAACTGATTGAATAACAAATGGAATAAATACATTTTTGAACTGGATTGGTTTCAGTTAAAATTGAGTTTACTTTGTTCTCAATTGTTAACAATTTTTGTCATGGATTTATGTTATAAAGTGAGTTTTTAATCATTTTTCATTTATCTATATCTATTTTAGTTTAACCACAATAATTTACTCTACGTACATTTAAATAAAACTATTACAAATCAAACAGGAAATGAGTTAGTAGAGAATTTGATGAGATTCAATAACGAAAGAGATTTGTTGTTCAATTTTTGTGGGACACAAATTTTAAAAGAAACTCTTAACTGAAAAGAAAGCATTTTACTTTAATAAAATTCTGAAAACTTATCAAACATTACAAGGATTAAACAATTTTAAAATCATTATTAGGTTAAAAATAAATTTTGTTAGGTTATGTTATGTTGCTATGGTTACCAAGTGTTTGTAGAATTAGTTCCGTTTAAAAACGGGTTTTTAGGTCTTCTTGTTGCTTGGGGGTACCATGAAGTTGTTCAAAACGAAACCAAGATGTCCCAAATCATTCTCATTTCCCAATTTTTACCTGTTTAGTTTTTTCCTTCAAAAAAATTGATTCAGCTCATAAAATCCAGAATTGAGACCTTCTTGAAGTGCCTAAATGTGATTTAACTTTAGTTAAAAAAGTTATGAATCTATGAATTCAAAAACTATGAATTTTTTAACAATACAATGAGATGTTATGATAATTAAGGATGGTTAGGGTACAAGTTGTTAAGTGAGGTTGGGTTTTATTGAATTTAATTTATAACTGACTATAATCTCTCTGAACTCCGCCTTCAAGAAAGAATGGGTGGATTGAGTATCCCACAGATCTCAAGTAAGACCAGCAACCTGCTTGAGTGTATCAAATTGCTTGTAGAAACTATATCATTGCTTTGAAGTGCTCAGAAACCAAAAAGAAAGGCATGACGACATAAAATATCGCTCTGATAGAATACTGCAGGTGACCATCAGCTTCCAGAAGTCTAAACACCCGCATTTGGTAACCGTTTATGCCCTGGATACTAGCAAATGAAAAAAGAAATAGACCAATTTCCATCAGAACCTTCACGCGGTGCTAGGTGACATTTCAAGACAAGATGAGGTGATTATACTGGGAGACCTTAATGCCCGAATTGGAAACACTGTAATACCTGGTGTAAAAAATCGTTGTAATGAAGAAACTGGTAATAAAAGCGGAGAACAGCTAACTCAGTTATGCGCAGTTAACGAACTGAAGCTATTGAAGCATGGAGGCGACGCACTGCCAAACAAGCTGCACATCCTCTTTAAGAAAATCATAGAGTGTAGGAGGATACCAACGGAATGGAAAGAAAGCGTGACCATTCCAGTGTTTAAGAAAGGAAGTAAAAAGACCCAGCAAACCATTGGGGAATCATGCTATTAAGTTTAGCGCTAAAGTTATTCATAAAAATCTTGAAAGAAGAAATATCTTCTTAACAGCTCAACTATAAACGCCATCTTTGTTATCTGACAAATCGCGGACAAATCTTCTTACTAATACTTTTACCGCGTAGCACTTCCAGACGTTGTGAGACTCCTCAACAAGAAAAATGTACACCCAGATATAAAAAGCATTATAGTCGAGTTAAATACGGACTCGAATAAAAGTGAATTGCTTATTGCTGAAACAACCTAAGTCACTTTTTGGCCATTTTGAGTTATTCATATAAACATATAGTTTCGACCATTCCCCGTTGTTTGGTACTGAAAAAACCATCACTAGATACCATCACTAATACTATTTAGGAAAATTGAGAAGAGCAAAGGACCCAGCACACTGCCCTGGGGAACTTCATATTTGATGTCAACAGGAGAAGAGAGTACAGATTCCACGCGGACACGTAAAGACCGATAGGAAAGGTAGGACTGGAACCAAGATACACAAGAAGAGGTAAAACCAATAGCAGAAAGCCTAGTTAACAGGAGGGCATGGTCCACAGAATCAAAGGCCTTACTAAAATCAAGTAACACTAGCAAGGTAACACAACGATTATCACACGCAGATCTAATATCATCGGTGGTCTTAATCAGTGCTATAGTAGTACCATGCCCTTCAGCAAAACCAGACTGGAACTTGTTAATCAGGTTAAACTCTTCAAGATATTTTTGAATCTGCAAATAAGCTAAACGTTCAATAGTTTTTAACAACGTGGATAGAATAGAAATGGGTCGAAAGTCACCAACATGGGACGGAGATTTAATTTTTGGGATGGGAATAACATAGACGATTCGCCAGATTGAGGGAAATATAGACTGTCCAAAAGAACAGTTGAAAATATGTGTTAATAACTATATCCAGAATGGATAAGAGGAATCTGAGTCCATTACCATCTGCTCCGACACTAGTGGACTTGGAGCAAGTTAAAACATCCCTGACATCAGCATCTGTAACCAAGCTGCATGAAAAGGAGATGCAAGGATTTCATTAATAGTATTCTGTCTAGTTATGTTACCAACCACCACAGGAGGATCCGCAAATATGTATATTATATACCTATGCAATATCAAACCAGAACCGGGCCCCTGGTTAATCCAGCCCTGGCTGAAAAGCTTATTCATGAAAGACGAGCGAAGAAGTTCTAAAACGCTTTTCTGCGTCAAAAAGCCACGAAAATATGATAAATTTGACAAATTTCATTGTTTTTTGCAAGTTAATGGTAACACTGGGTAATCGAAGCGTGTTATAAAAAAACTTTTAGAATAAAAGTTGTAGCAAATTTTAATCTTAACAACATCGCTCTCCTTCACTTTTGCCGTCAGATGCTTAAATATCGAGAAAACCACGAAAATATGAAAATTTGACAAATTTCGTTGTTTTCGTCGACTGCAGAAGAATGTAAAGAACGACTAGATCTTGCAGCTATTTGATTACATGTAGAATCTACAACTTCCACAGATCCCTGTACAAGATTTCTTTTACCTATCTCAATTAAGTGTAAGTGTGCTCTGCATTCACAACTTAAAGACAAACAAATCCTTTTTTTATATTCACCATGAGGGTGTAGCTGCAAAAGGTCCTAATGTAGTCACTACATTCATAATGGAGCATATAGAAAAGTAATAACGATCTTATTAATTGCAAGGGATGGTGTACCAAGATCCAACAGACTTCCTAGACACCCTCCCACAATGTGGTATGAAAGCTAGAATTGGGTGACTCGACAGTTAATTTTGAATAATATAATAATAAACACAATATTATTTTATATTAAAACGTTAATTTTATTATTCGCCTAAGTGCATGTAATAAAAAAAATTACAAACAACAGCTGTAGACATTAAAAGCGATCTTTAACGGCCGCCGAGACATCTGTCGATGATTCCGCCGATGAAACCATCTTCTTCACCACCATCTCCTTCGTTGATCAGTCCCAAAACGACTTCACTAGCGACTTCATCGATTCTGCCAGCGTTCTCATCAATGATGGTGGCGCCGTTGGCTAAGATATCGGCGCTAACTTCAGTGCTGTAAGCTTCATCGTCACGGACACCAGTGATAACAAACTGTAACATAAAATTAGGTGTAAAAAATGCTTCGAGAAGTCGTTAATCAGTTAACTTACGCTTTCAAGTGGGTCCATACCAACGATGATGTGGAAGTATTCCAATTTAATTCCACCGAGGATGGTGGCTTTAAGATCGACGGCAGCACGGAAGTTGCGGGCTGAGAAGCTTTAACAAAAAAATATTTAATAAATATTAAGAAATTATTAATTTTCTTACTCCAAAGTTCCAGTTCCCCAAGTGTTGATAGTATCGGAGTTGAGAACGTTGACGTAATTGGTGGAAAGGATTGGGTTGGCGAAACGTAAAGTGATTTTGACGGTGTAGCTTGGTGGGATTAAACCAATGGTGCCACTAAGTCCATCATAAGTGAAATCAATCAATCCGCTGAAGACTAAGTCGGTAACGGTCAATTCACCACTATTTAAATAAAGGAAACGATTTAAGCGAATAGTACATTTTTTTCAAAGGAGCAATCTTACGTAACACCATCAAGTCCGAAATCGGCAAAGTTGAAGGTGTGGTCTTCAATTCTGAGTGGGTTCAAATGGGGGATTCCAAAATCTGGCCATCCAACCAACATCTCACCACGAACACATTCGAGGGTGTTGATGATGATGTCTTCGAAAGCACGTGGAGAGCTAACGCCTAACAAAAAAAAATCGGTTATAAATAATAATTACGATAAAAAAGAATCTTACTCTTAGCGAAAGCAGAGTGGCCGAGGGCCAAAAGAGTGATGAGAATCAAGCAACGCATCTTTAGTGTATTCAGAAGAAACCCAGAACGTTTGATTTCTCGGAGATTTGGTCCAGCTTAAATAGTAATTTCGGAGGAGATGACCAAGATGATAAAGTACGATAAGAAAGGCAAAGATAAAAGTCAAGAGATCAAATTGTGTCAGTGGGCCTTTGATTGTACTGATTGTATGTAATGATTTACAAATCTGATTGGGTGCATATATCAATATAATTATTTTAAATAAGGTTTTTTGATAAAAAGTTTCAAGTATTATCATGACTTGACAACGTGATAATTTTAAGAGATATTGATAAACACTCCTTAGATTTAAACGTATTTTTTATTGTACGATTAATTTTTAGTTATAATAACCTAAAGACAGTAGCAAATTTTATTCTTAACAATATTGCTCTCTTTCACTTTTGCTCTCACAATCAGATGCATAGATATTGAGAGCAATACGGATATTTGATGAATTTGTTGTTTTTTGCAAGTTAATGGTAACACTGGGAAATTGGGGCGTGTTATAAAAAAACTTTTAGAACAAAAGTTGTGGCAAATTTTATTCTTAGCAATATTGCTCTCTTTCACTTTTTCTCTCAGATGCATAGATATTGAGAACAATACGAAAACGTGAAAATTTGACTAATTTGTTGTTTTTGCAAGTTAATGGTAACGCTGGGGAATCGAAGCGTGTTATAAAAAAACTTTAAGAACAAAAGTTGTAGCTAATTTTATTCTTAACAATATTGCTCTCTTTCACTTTTGCTCTCAGATGCATAGATATTGAGAACAATACGAAAATGTGAAAATTTGATGAATTCCTTTTTTTTTGCAAGTTAATGGTAACACTGGGGAATCGAAGCGTGTTATAAAAAAGCTTTTAGAACAAAAGTTGTAGCTAATTTTATTCTTAACAATATTGCTCTCTTTCACTTTTGCTCTCAGATGCATAGATATTGAGAACAATACGAAAATGTGAAAATTTGATGAATTCCTTTTTTTTTGCAAGTTAATGGTAACACTGGGGAATCGAAGCGTGTTATAAAAAAGCTTTTAGAACAAAAGTTGTAGCTAATTTTATTCTTAACAATATTGCTCTCTTTCACTTTTGCTCTCAGATGCATAGATATTGAGAACAATACGAAAATGTGAAAATTTGATGAATTCCTTTTTTTTTGCAAGTTAATGGTAACACTGGGGAATCGAAGCGTGTTATAAAAAAGCTTTTAGAACAAAAGTTGTAGCTAATTTTATTCTTAACAATATTGCTCTCTTTCACTTTTGCTCTCAGATGCATAGATATTGAGAACAATACGAAAATGTGAAAATTTGATGAATTCCTTTTTTTTTGCAAGTTAATGGTAACACTGGGGAATCGAAGCGTGTTATAAAAAAGCTTTTAGAACAAAAGTTGTAGCTAATTTTATTCTTAACAATATTGCTCTCTTTCACTTTTGCTCTCAGATGCATAGATATTGAGAACAATACGAAAATGTGAAAATTTGATGAATTCCTTTTTTTTTGCAAGTTAATGGTAACACTGGGGAATCGAAGCGTGTTATAAAAAAGCTTTTAGAACAAAAGTTGTAGCTAATTTTATTCTTAACAATATTGCTCTCTTTCACTTTTGCTCTCAGATGCATAGATATTGAGAACAATACGAAAATGTGAAAATTTGATGAATTCCTTTTTTTTTGCAAGTTAATGGTAACACTGGGGAATCGAAGCGTGTTATAAAAAAGCTTTTAGAACAAAAGTTGTAGCTAATTTTATTCTTAACAATATTGCTCTCTTTCACTTTTGCTCTCAGATGCATAGATATTGAGAACAATACGAAAATGTGAAAATTTGATGAATTCCTTTTTTTTTGCAAGTTAATGGTAACACTGGGGAATCGAAGCGTGTTATAAAAAAGCTTTTAGAACAAAAGTTGTAGCTAATTTTATTCTTAGCAATATTGCTCTCTTTCACTTTTGCTCTCAGATGCATAGATATTGAGAACAATACGAAAATGTGAAAATTTGGTGAATTCGTTATTTTTTGCAAGTTAATGGTAACACTGGGGAATCGGAGTGTGTTATAAAAAAACTTTTAGAACAAAGATTTTAGCAAATTTTATTCTTAACAATATTGCTCTCCTTCACTTTTGCTCTTAGATGCGTCTATATTTCAATATTGAGAAAAATATGACTTTGTTGCTTTTTCAAGTTATGTGTCAAGAGAAAGCACATAAAAATGGACACAACGAATAATCGTGTGATGATCACGAGATACTAAAAGATGTGTAGGAAGATCGCAGAAGAGGTGGATCGACGATGTGCAGTTTGTGGCGAGGAAAGGATGGATAAGTACAGCAAAAGGCAGAAATAAATGGAGACGTTTGGAAGAGACCTAAGTCCAGCAGTGGATGAATACAGGCTGAGGAAGAAAGAGAGAAGAAGATTGGTGGTGATTTCGTCAACAATGCCATATGCATAGTACGTAAAGGTAAAGATTTGTTGAGTGAGTGTAGGAGATTAAGCCAGCTTGGAGTGGTGCAGGTGAGAAATTGTATAATGGTCAAATATCATGATCAGGGAACTATGTAGCTGATAAATTCCCTGTGCTTTGTTGAATGAGTTTTCAGTGGCCATAAAATAATCAGTTTTGGAAAAGTGTCGTTATTGCTTTAAGCATATACATTGGTAAATATTTGTGCCAAAACAATGAAAATAAGGATTTGAATGCTGTATACAATAATGAGTTGTGGTATATGTAGTGAACTAGAAACTCATAAGAAATGGCTGATGCTAAAATCGTCGCCACATTGCGTAGCCACAGTGGGGGTTCAAATGTATTTATAGAGATGGTAAGAAGTGAGGTGGATTTAAGATTATAAACTTAATTTTACTATTTAACTTTTATTTATAACAATATGAAATGGTACATATTTATACACGACGACCTAAAGACAAGCATCTGTCGATCAATCCGGAAATGAAACCAGAATCTTCACCACCATCACCTCCATTGTTGATCAAATCCATGGCAACATCAGAGATTACATCGTGGAGTTTTGGACTCAATTCAGCAATTTTGTCAACACCGTTAGCGAGCATATCAGCAGAGAATTCAGCGCTGAATTCTTCATCGTCACGAAGACCAGTGATTGCAAACTGGAAATAAAAATTACCTTTTTAACTCAAATACCTTAAACGTGCAAAATCAAAGACTTACGCTAGTTAATGGCTCCATGGAAACGTAAACATCGAGGTATTTCAAACCAATACGACCCAATAAAGTAGCTTGTAAACCAATGTTGGCTTTGAAGTTGTTGGCGTCGAAACTGCAAAGAAATAAAAGCACATAAATATTTCTAATATTTCTTAATTTCTTGACTTCTTACTCTAAGGTGCCAGTTCCGAAGGTATCGATACCGACTTCAGCCAATTGAACATTACCGCTGTATTCGGTGGTTAAGGTTGGGTTGGGGAAGATGAGATCTAAGTTAACAGTGAGACCTGGAGGAAGGAGTTGAATGCTACCTTCGAGGTTTTCATAAACGAAGTCAGCTAATCCAGCGAAGACTAAGTTTTTGACGGTCAAAGTTCCGCTGATACCTTCAATACCCAAATTGCCTAATTCAAGAGTTTTTTCGGCAGATTCCAATGGGTCCAAGGAGGGGATTCCGAAATCTGGCCAACCTGTTTGCATTTCTCCACGTAAGCATTCCAAGAAATTAATGATGGTTTCTTCAAAAGCACGTTGGTCACGTACGATTGGGGCTAAACAAATTGTTAAATTAGTTTAAAGGAAGACATTTTTTTGGTGGAAAACTTACTCATGGCAAAAGCCATGCCGATGAAGGCTAAGAAAGCGATGGCGCGCATTTTAATAGCTGGAGATATTTCTAGAAAAGAAATTAAGAATTTTATGATTTGTTATAATTTTCGTTGTTGAAACTTACCTGGAATTTCTCAACTGATTTGAAACTATTCGCGTGGGGTTTAAATACCAAACTATTGCGTCAATATGAATAGTTTATCAAGTACTTAAGTAGTTTAAGTTTATGATAAAATGATACGTATGTATTGTTTTATTTATAAATTAATTAATAAGTGTTTATCACTCATTTTCAAGTGGATTAAATTGATTATGCACAAATGTTATATATTTGTTTTTCAATTTTTCACTTTTTTCCAAGATGGAAAATTGAGGAGAAATTGGAACTCAGGTTGCTCCAATTTCTGGTCTTTGAGAAATGTAAATTCTATATTTACGATTAAACACGCCAAATTTTAAACATTTATTCCTGCCATAAAAGTTAATTTGACGGTGAGAATAGCTACAGAGACAATATGGATTTATGAGAGGAATAGGGATGATACATATATGCTGGATGGTGTGGTGGAGGAGTGTATTAGTAGATGCGATATGAATGGCTGGCACATGGTGGTATTTGATGACTGCCATTGAAAATTTTTTGAGTTATAGCAGGATAAGATGTGAGCTGGTTTGTGGCCATTCTTGTGGATCTGTGAAATTAATGAATGCTCTGGTGGAGTTAAGAGCATGATGGATGAGGAGATCGCCCTGTCGCAGGCTTATGAGAAAAGGTGGGATAAAATCTGGAAGGCATGTAAAGAATGGGCTATTTGTTGTGTAATGGAGTGTGTCGGGGAGAAATTGGAGAGTAAGAGGACATCGGGAAGATTGACAGTGCTGATAAGGAAAGAGTGAGGAATTAGGAGTAAAATTAGAAAAATTAATCGTGGAGAGGAAGGTGTTGCCTGGATTGTTGTTTGGTGTAAAAATATGGGGTACAAGAGGGATGACAGTAAAGTGATTAAAGGAATGAACGTGAAGCTGAACACTTTCTGGTTGTGAGTGACCCGGATTGATGTTCTGCGAATAATGTTGGGCGTGCCGAACGATTCAACTATCATGGGCAACATTTGGACAACTCATAAATCTCAAAGCGTACGGACTTGAAACCATAGTCTTGATAAGGAAAACTACAGAACAACTTAGCGTGCCCAAAGAGCTATGGAACGAGCAATGCTGGGAATCATCTGAGAGACAAGATTCGAAGTAGTGACATTCCATGATAACACTGGAGAATCGGAGCGTGTTATAAAAAAACTTTTAGAACAAAAGTTGTGGCAAATTATATTCTTAACAATATTGCTCTCTTTCACTTTTGCTCTCAGATGCATAGATATTGAGAACAATACGAAAATGTGAAAATTTGATGAATTCGCTATTTTTTGCAAGTTAATGGTAACAATGGAGAATCGGAGCGTGTTATAAAAAAACTTTTAGAACAAAAGTTGTGGCAAATTTTATTCTTAACAATATTGCTCTCTTTCACTTTTGCTCTCAGATGAATAGATATTGAAAACAATACGAAAATGTGAACATTTGATGAATTCGTTATTTTTTGCAAGTTAATGGTAACACTGGGGAATCGAGGCGTGTTATAAAAAAACTTTTAGAACAAAGGTTGTAGCAAATTTTATTCTTAGCAATATTGGTCTCTTTCGCTTTTGCTCTCAGATGCATAGATATTGAGAACAATACGAAAATGTGAAAATTAGGTGAATTCGTTATTTTTTGCAAGTTAATGGTAGCACTGGGGATTTAGAGCGTGTTATAAAAAAACTTTTAGAACAAAAGTTGTGGCAAATTATATCCTTAACAATATTGCTCTCTTTCACTTTTGCTCTCAGATGCATAGATATTGAGAACAATACGAAAATGTGAAAATTTGATGAATTCGTTATTTTTTGCAAGTTAATGATAACACTGGAGAATCGGAGCGTGTTATAAAAAAACTTTTAGAACAAAAGTTGTAGCTAATTTTATTCTTAGCAATATTGCTCTCTTTAACTTTTGCTCTCAGATGCATAGATATTGAGAACAATACGAAAATGTGAAAATTAGATGAATTCGTTTTTTTTTGCAAGTTAATGGTAACACTGGGGAATCGGAGCGTGTTATAAAAAAACTTTTAGAATAAAAATTGTGGCAAATTATATTCTTAACAATATTGCTCTCTTTCACTTTTGCTCTTAGATGCATAGATATTGAGAACAATACGAAAATGTGAAAATTTGATGAATTCGTTATTTTTTGCAAGTTAATGGTAACNGCCGTTGATTGGATTGTAATTGTGGGAGAGGGAGCGCGGGGTGAGAGGAATGGGACAAAAAATTGTGTTTTTGTGGGATTGAGTAGGATGCGCCATTTTCGGTACCAATTTTCCGTTTCGTTTATGAGCGTTTGCAGCTTACGGATCGAGGAAGTGATATCCCTACTGTGCGAGACCAATGCTGTGTCGTCGGCGTAAAGAAGTGCGTATGCAGTGAGGTTAAAAGCGTCTGGGTTGCCGTTGTAAAGATCGTGGCAGAATAGGTTGTATAGAGCGGGAGAGATAGGCGAACCCTGAGGAAGGCCTTGCTGAGCGGAGAAGCTGTGGGAGGAGTGATTTTTCAACTTCACGATGGAGGAACGATTCGACAGGAATTGGTTTATCAGGGTTAGAAGGTAGTATGGCGTTTTTAGCTTATCCAGTTTAAATAGCAATCCTTTGTGCCACACGGAGTCAAAGGCCTTTCGGACGTCCAGAAACACTGCTGCAGATTTCAGTTTTACAAAACGTGCCGCCTGGAAGTTGGAAACCAGAATAGTTAGTGGCTGGGACGTTGATTTGCCGGATTGGAAGCCAAATTGGTAAGGCGGAATTTTCTTTGATACCGCAGCCAGGAGCTTGTTCTTCAAGTGCGTCTCGAAGAGTTTTCCAATTACGGGGAGCAGTGAGATGGGGCGATAGTTGGCTGGATCAGATAGAGAGGAATCCTTCTTGGGAATACAAGTTATAATAGACGTCTTCCAGTCGCGCGGGAAATGCNCTTAAACGTGCAAAATCAAAGACTTACGCTAGTTAATGGCTCCATGGAAACGTAAACATCGAGGTATTTCAAACCAATACGACCCAATAAAGTAGCTTGTAAACCAATGTTGGCTTTGAAGTTGTTGGCGTCGAAACTGCAAAGAAATAAAAGCACATAAATATTTCTAATATTTCTTAATTTCTTGACTTCTTACTCTAAGGTGCCAGTTCCGAAGGTATCGATACCGATTTCAGCCAATTGAACATTACCGCTGTATTCGGTGGTTAAGGTTGGGTTGGGGAAGATGAGATCTAAGTTAACAGTGAGACCTGGAGGAAGGAGTTGAATGCTACCTTCGAGGTTTTCATAAACGAAGTCAGCTAATCCAGCGAAGACTAAGTTTTTGACGGTCAAAGTTCCGCTGATACCTTCAATACCCAAATTGCCTAATTCAAGAGTTTTTTCAGCAGATTCCAATGGGTCCAAAGAGGGGATACCGAAATCTGGCCAACCTGTTTTCATTTCTCCACGTAAGCATTCCAAGAAATTAATGATGGTTTCTTCAAAAGCACGTTGGTCACGTACAATTGGGGCTAAACAAGTTGTTAAATTAATTTAAAGGAAGACATTTTTTTGGTGGGAAACTTACTCATGGCAAAAGCCATGCCGATGAAGGCTAAGAAAGCGATGGCGCGCATTTTAATAGCTGGAGATATTTCTAGAAAATAAATGAAGAATTTTATGATTTGTTATGATTTTCGTTGTTGAAACTTACCTGGAATTTCTCAACTGATTTGAAACTATTCGTTGGGGGTTTAAATACTAAAATTGTTTCGTAAAAAATAGTTTATCAATCCTTTAAGTAGTTTGATAATCATTATTAGTTTTTTTTAATGTATAAAGTAAATTAATAAGTGTTTTTCACTATCGTTCAAGTGTTAAACGCAAATAATCATAAGTTTTATATATCACATTTTTTAATTTAGCTTTATTTTTAGTCGATTTGATCATATTCCGACGATTAGCTTTGTGTTTATATTAAACATTTTTTTAATTCGGCCTTAAGTAACCGTTAATTAATTCATTGTTAATTTTATATAACATTTTTCGTTCGTTAGATAATAATTGGACATCGATTTTTTATAAATATTATTTTTAAACCAAGTCCTTGAGAAATCTTTGAGTGTTTTCGGTGTGGCAACTCTTAATAAACTTCGATAGGTTCGATAACTTATCAATTTTTTTTTTAATATCGTAATTGTTTACAATCTAAGACCTAAATCTATTACGCTTTTACCATATTATAAAAATTTATTTATTCAATTTTATTCTAGAACTAACACTTTTGATAATAATTTATTAACAACCTATTTACTAGTGATGGAACGGATAGTGATTTTGCGAAAAGCCGGATACCGAATATTCGGTCATTATGGTTATAATTTCTGGTGCATTTCTGAAGTGAATAAAAATGAAACTAATAAGAAAGCTGATAAGATTGTCAACTTATTTGGATCCAAGATACAAGAAAAAATTATAGATCATTTCAAAAATTTTTTTCTCAAGAACTAAAAGTAATTTTTCAAAACGGCTTGTTGCATTAAAAAGAGGATACTTTCATTAATAATTGGTGATATTTCCACAAGGATCCTTCAAGAAATTAATTTTACAGCGAATTTTGACAGTTATCGATGAAAATGCAACATCGAAAATTTTATCAAAACTTCAAATATTGTTTTCTCAAAATCTAAAAGTTATTTTTCAAAACGGGTTGGTTCATTGGAAAGAGGACACTTTTATTAACACTTTGGGAAATTTTCATACTCATATTCCAAGAAATGGATTTTATACGAATTTTTAAAACTTAATCGGCGAAAATTGCAAAATTCGAAAAAATTGTCGATTATTTCAAAAATTTATTTCTCAAGAACTAAAAGTGATTTTTCAAAACGGCTTGTTGCATTAAAAAGAGGATACTTTAATTAATAATTGGTGATATTTCCACAAGGATCCTTCAAGAAATTAATTTTATAGCAAATTTTGAAAGTTATCGATGAAAATTGCAACATCGAAAATTTTATCAAAACTTCAAATATTGTTTTCTCAAAAACTAAATGTTATTTTTCAAAACGGGTTGGTTCATTGGAAAGAGGACACTCCTATTAACACTTTGAGAAATTTTCATACTCATATTCCAAGAAATCGATTTTATACGAATTTTTAAAACTCAAAAACTGAAAATGATTTTTCAAAACGGCGTTTTGCATTAAAAAGAGGATACCTTACTTGATCCAAACTTGATCCACTACAACTATTTACGTAAAATTTATTTACTTAACTTTAAAAATCGTAAACTTCCCATCTAACGATAATCGTGATGAAATTCTGTCCATTTTTCTACAAAAAAGACATAGAAGACCTACCCCCAGTAATAATATCACGTTAATATCGAGTTATTTATGAAATAAATCCATTTTGACCATTCCAAAACAGAACATAATGTAAACGTGTTGTATTGAAGGGTTAATTCAATACCGATTGTATTTATTTGCTAATCGATATGTTAATAATCATAATTAGTTGCGCATTTACAATAATCATCCGTTATAGTCGAATTATTTAGGTGTAAATTGGAGTAAATAATACACAAAAATAAAAAATAATAATAATCCGCATTTCCGGTTAAATTGGAAATGGAATCCCGGTGGAGAGCGCTCTAAAATTAAACTACAAAGTGGTTATTTTTCCTGGTACATAATATTTCGAGCTGAAAGAATTTTAATCAAAGCTTTACTTCGCAAAGTTAAAAAAAATCTTTTTAATGTTTTTTAATCGTATTAGGTAAATTAATTTTAAATGTGATATCGATACCAACATGTTTCTTATCAGAACGAGTACCCATAAATGTTTAGATAACAACAGAGTGTGTACATTATATAATTTTTTTTTTAAATGAAAAAATTTAAGTGGCTATTAAAGAAATTCGAACGAACGAACGAATTATTGCGATTTTACTGCGAAGGAAAAGTGAGTTATCGAAATTAATTCCTTAAAACGTCAATAAATTATGTCTTCTACGTTCGAGGAAGCGCTTTGGCGAATTCAAAAAAGATCAATTTCAGATTACTTTAGATTTAAAACGTTTTAGCCTAATAATTTTACTTGTTAACAATCTTAATTGTGTACATTTTAAGTCATTTGAATTAATTTGGTAGTAGAAAATGTTACATTTCCTTTTTCGTCTCTTTCTACTATATATATTCCATTTTATCTGGGTGTAATTGAAAATTTGAAATGGATTCGTTAAGGGAGCACTGATCCACAGCTCAATGTTCCATAGGTTGTGCTCCCGGGGAGATTATGTTTCAATTCGGAGAACTGAACGACTCCGAATCTTTCAACCTTTTCTCCTCGGTATTCTCTCTTTTTACACTCTGCGTTTTATATTATCTATTAAATATTCCTCTCACGGTTCCCCATTCCAATTTTTTGATTAATAATTAATCAGTTTCAAAGTGAGAACGTTGATTGTAGACCCTTAAATCTTGTGATTAAACTAAACAGTTACTAACCCCATCTAGCGATAATCGTTTATACTAAACTAAATTTTTGACGTTTAAAAATCAGCTGTTACATTTCTTCCTATAACTGTCAAATTTTATGAAGAAAAAAGCTTTAATTGAACCTAAAAACCTATCATGATACGTTTTTAAGACCCAAATTGTTTATTTAAAGCGATTTAGGTAAAAATTAAAATTTTTATTTTATTTAAATCATAAAATTCCTCTTCTTTTACAGAGTTGCTCACCCCATCTATCGGTAATAAAATTAAGTTTTATGTTTGACATATTAGAATCAGCTGTTGGATTTCTTCCTAAAATTATTAAATTTCACGAGAAAAGAAACTTAATGGAACCTAAAAACCCATCATAACGCGTTTTTGAAGATCCAAAGTGTTTATTTAAAGGTATTTTATGCTCCACGAAGAGATTTTTCGTCCTAAATCAATATGTAAAATTTCAATCGAAAGAACTAACCTAATTTTTTTCCGTCAATTTAAAATTTTTGGGATTTTAAAATATCCGGATAATTTATTAGAATAGAAAGGTTAATTTTATTAATTTTGAATCATTTAATAATTCCATAATTTATAATTTTCGTTAATTTAAGAATTTAAATGATTTGCTCACCCCATCTAACGGCACCCACCTAAATTACGTTTTATTTTTGACTTTTTAAAATCAGCTATTGCATTTCTTCCTATAATTGTCAAATTTGAACCTAAAAACCTATCATGATACGTTTTCAAGACCCAAATTGTTTATTTAAAGCGATTTAGGTAAAAATTTAAATTTTTATTTTATTTAAATCATAAAATTCCTCTTCTTTTACAGAGTTGCTCACCCCATATATCGGTAATAAAATAAAATTTTATGTTTGACATATTAGAATCAGCTGTTGGATTTCTTCCTAAAATTATTAAATTTCACGAAAAAAGAAACTTAATGGAACCTAAAATCTCATAACGCGTTTTTGAAGCTCCAAAGTGTTTATTTAAAGGTATTTTATGCTCTACGAAGAGATTTTTCGTCCTAAATCAATATGTGAAGTTTCAATCGAAAGAACTAACCTAACTTTTTTCCGTCAATTTAAAATTTTTGGGATTTTAAAATATCCGGATCATTTATTAGAATAGAAAGGTGGTAAGTCGATTAATTTTATTAATTTTGAATCATTTAATAATTCCATAGTTTATAATTTCCGTTAATTTAAGAATTTAAATGATTTGCTCACCCCATCTAACGGCACCCACCTAAATTACGTTTTATTTTTGACTTTTTAAAATCAGCTATTACATTTCTTCCTATAACTGTCAAATTTTATGAAGAAAAAAGCTTTAATTGAACCTAAAAACCTATCATGATACGTTTTTAAGACCCAAATTGTTTATTTAAAGCGATTTAGGTAAAAATTAAAATTTTTATTTTATTTAAATCATAAAATTCCTCTTCTTTTACAGAGTTGCTCACCCCATCTATCGGTAATAAAATTAAGTTTTATGTTTGACATATTAGAATCAGCTGTTGGATTTCTTCCTAAAATTATTAAATTTCACGAGAAAAGAAACTTAATGGAACCTAAAAACCCATCATAACGCGTTTTTGAAGATCCAAAGTGTTTATTTAAAGGTATTTTATGCTCCACGAAGAGATTTTTCGTCCTAAATCAATATGTAAAATTTCAATCGAAAGAACTAACCTAATTTTTTTCCGTCAATTTAAAATTTTTGGGATTTTAAAATATCCGGATAATTTATTAGAATAGAAAGGTTAATTTTATTAATTTTGAATCATTTAATAATTCCATAATTTATAATTTTCGTTAATTTAAGAATTTAAATGATTTGCTCACCCCATCTAACGGCACCCACCTAAATTACGTTTTATTTTTGACTTTTTAAAATCAGCTATTACATTTCTTCCTATAATTGTCAAATTGAACCTAAAAACCTATCATGATACGTTTTTAAGACCCAAATTGTTTATTTAAAGCGATTTAGGTAAAAATTTAAAATTTTTATTTTATTTAAATCATAAAATTCCTCTTCTTTTACAGAGTTGCTCACCCCATCTATCGGTAATAAAATTAAATTTTATGTTTGACATATTAAAATCAGGTGTTGGATTTCTTCCTAAAATTATTACATTTTACGAAAAAAGAAACTTAGTGGAACCTAAAAACCCATCATAAAGTGTTTTTGAAGATCCAAAGTGTTTATTTAAAGTTATTTTATGCTCCACGAAGAGATTTTTCGTCCTAAATCAATATGTGAAGTTCAATCGAAAGAACTAACCTAACTTTTTTCCGTCAATTTAAAATTTTTGGGATTTTAAAATATCTGGATAATTTATTAAAATAGAAAGATGGTAAGTCGATTAATTTTATTAATTTTGAATCATTTAATAATTCCATAATTTATAATTTTCGTTAATTTAAGAATTTAAATGATTTGCTCACCCCATCTAACGGCACCCACCTAAATTACGTTTTATTTTTGACTTTTTAAAATCAGCTATTACATTTCTTCCTATAATTGTCAAATTTGAACCTAAAAACTTATTATGACACGTTTTAAAGACCCAAACTGTTTATTTAAAGTGATTTTGGGTATAAAAATTTCAATTAAATCATAAAATTCTTCTTTTACAGAGTTGCTCACCCCATCTATCGGTAATCACCTAAATTCAAATTTATATTTGACATATTAAAATCAGCTGTTGCATTTCTTCATAATATTATTAAATTTTATGAAGAAAGAAACCTAATAGAACCTAAGAACACGTCGTAACACGTTTATGGAGATCCAAACTGTTTATTTAAAGTGATTTTATGGTCCACGAAGAGATTTTCCGCCCTAAATCAATCTGTGAAGTTTCCAACCTAACTTCTCTCCGTCAATTTAAAATTTTTGGGATTTAAAAGAAAAGGGTTTATTTATTATAATAAAAGAATAGTAAGTAGATTGATTTTATTAAATTTGAATCATTTCATCATTTAGTAATTCTATAATTTATTATTTTCAAGAGTTTAAATTAGTTTCTCGCCCCATCTATCGGTACCCACCTAAATTAAATTTAATTTTTGACATTTTAAAATCTGCTGTCACATTTCTTCTTACAGTTATTAAATTTTATGAAGAAAAAAACTTTAATTGAACCTAAAAATCCATCATAACGCATTTTTGAAGATCCAAATTCTAGTCTTGTAATCTATTTAACCGTGCCCTTGAAAAGGTGTTACGTGAATCACAGGTGAACCTGATTGGGACGATTATATGAAGAGTGTACAAAATGGACTATGAAGAAGACGATATAACTTCGAATTATATCAGGCATACAACGACATGGACGTGGTTCAATTTATCAAAATCAACTGCTTGAGATGGGTGGGTCATGTTCATGTGATAAGAATTGAGGAAGATGAGTATGAGACAAGTATAGCAATATTGAACAAACTGGTCGGAACCAGAAGATGAGGAGAATGAAGCTGAGAGATCGAAAAGAGGAACTAAAACTAATGGGAATGTTGGAGAAGGGTGAGAGACAGAGAAGACTGGAAGGATATTCTGAGGCAGGCCAGGGCCCCCTCAATGATGAACAAGGTACTAAAAGAGAATGTGCATTCGATATCATTTAAGCGTAATTTTTGTATTAATAATAGGCAGGTGTGAAACATAATAGAAAAAATCGTTATCTAAGATTAAAAATTAATCAAAAAGTATTCCTAATAATTTACGTAAACTACTCTAGATTAGTTAAAAATACATCCATTAACTCGGATCATTTATTTTTCGTAATAAGTTATTGTTTACACAATGAATCAACAAAAAATATTTACGTCAAAAATGAATTAAACATCTCTTATAGTGAGAATAAAATTTTTGTTTTCAGCTTGAAAATTGACGCAAGCGCTTCGGGAACCCTCGAATTTCAAGAGAGAATTGCAACCCCCTGTAAAATAGCAATGCGGAGTACTGTTGGCGTCCAGTTCAGCCGGCGGCGCCCCGGCGTACAAAACACGCGATGTGGTCGTGGGACGCCGGAAGTGGAGCGCGCGCGATCCTCTTCATGTTCACCGCAAACTTCTTCGGACCCGCAGCCCTCGGAAAATTGGATTCAATACATGGTAAGTCAAAAAGAAAAAAATCTTGTCTTATTATACTTTATTTTTATTCTATAGAAAATTAAAAACTTTTGTAACACGAACCAATTAGTGAGTCCGTGTGTCTTTCTGCAGCTAGGTAAATTCGCTGTTAGAAATTATTATTCACTTTGAGTTTGAGCCGCGATGCCGCGTTTAATTAACTCGTTGACGCTATTTGCTGATTACTTCGACGAAGTTGATTAACTTTACTGGTGCGGTGTTTGTGTTTGAAGCGCGTTTGAATTGTTTTAGGTACAAAGATGATTTCATTATACTTTTTTGGGCAATAACCATCGAATGAAAGATCTAAAAATATGACGGTAATATCATTAAATCAAGATTATGCGTAGAAAATTTTATAGTTATAATTGAATTTTAAGTTTAAAACATGTTTAAACTTGAAAACTATAGGAAATAGAATTGAAGGAGGGGTTAAACCCAGTTAAATCCATTACAACTCTGATAATCAGTGGATTTAGTCAAGTTCGAACGTTACTCACCCTTGAAGAAGAAGATGATGGGGTAAGGAACTTTAAACTAAACTGTGGCGACGTGTGGAGTAAGGAAAATTTAATAACCCACCCCCCGTTTATCCAAAAGCTGGGGGATAAGTTGTGAAAACTTAGCACTTCCAGGGTTAGTTAATTGCACCATCGACTTTGGCGCTTTACTTAAATAGATATTAAGTAATATTAATTGCTAAAGCTATCATCTAAGAAATTTAAGTTTTCAACTTGTCAATTAACACCTTTAAGCTGGAAATGGAGAAAATGAAAAATGGTTTATTTGGTTTAATAAATCATTTCGAAAGGTACAAGTTAGAAATGCATCAATATATGGGGGTAATTAGCGGGTTATGGAGAAGTGCCTAGTAATTTTCGGGTTATTTTTCATCGGAAATCTCACGTGTCCCACACGCAATCTTAGTCATTTTCCAAACTGAAATGGAAACTTATACTTTTCTCTTTTGCTTCTCTTTCTATCCCCTCATCTCTATCGAGCCGCCCCCCGCTTAATAACTTAGGGAGTTGAAACGATTCTTTTCGGTGATATAAACTTGATTGTATGTTTTGTATAATTTATAGATTGAATAGCGCCATCTATTGCAATAATTAGAACAAATTCGAGTGTTTTAACCGCTATTAATAGCAGTGCGATGACTTCGCATATTTCGATGTCCTTAAAATTATATAACTAATCGATATTTATCGATATGTATAAAAATAAACCCGAAAAATCGATCGCACTTACAATGCATAGATTCAAATTTTCTTCTCGTTCAGTCTGAAGAGCAGCACAAACTTTCTGCTTAACACTATCTTATTTGGCATAACGCATAAATAAACCTGAAAAAGTTTTAAATAAACGCAAAAGCGATAGTCGTGAATTGATATCACCCGAATGAATAGTAAACAAAGTCTTCCAAATCCATATTTGGCTCCCAAATCTATCTGCTAATAGCTACTCTTCAAGTCTAGAGTTTCAAACTAACGTAATCTCGACAACTTTCCTTTATTAAGGTAGGGTTGAGTTGATGAACAACTTGATTTAGCTCATTATTTATTACATTTCGCTAAGCGCCACGTTTAAAACTTAAAAACTTGATTTTGATGTTTTTTGAAAGTGTTCCAAAGATACCAAGAACTAGAAAATCCTTATTGGTGTATGTCAAAACTGCTCAAATCGATTACAAATGCTTTTAGATTACTTGATAACAACGAAAGGAGCTAATAAAGTTAATGAGAATGGTTTCTAGAACATTCAAAGATTTTAGAATGTGGGAAAATGTGAATCAAAATAGTTTTAATCGACTAAAAATGTTTCTGGGATACTTAAGGAGGATTAAAAATTGATTTTTATGATTTTTGAAAACATATTAAAGACACCAAGAACTAGAAAATGGATCTTGGTGGGTGTCAAAATGGGTCAAATCGATTACAAATGCTTTTAGATTACTTGATAACAACGAAACGAGTTAATAAAGTTAATGAGAATGTTTTCCAGAACATTCGAAGATTTTGGAATGTGGAAAAATGTAAATCAAATAGTATTAATCGACTAAAAACGTTTCTGGGATACTTAAGGAGGATAAAAAATTGATTTTGATGATTTTTGAAAGTGTTTCAAAGACACCAAGAACTAAAAAATTGATCTTGATGGGTGCCAAAATGGCTCAAATCGATTACAAATGCTTTTAAATTACTTGATAACAACGAAAGGAGTTAATAAAGTTAATGAGAATATTTTCCAGAAGATTCGAAGATTTTGGAATGTGGTAAAATGTGAATCAAATACTTTTAATCGATTAAAAACGTTTCTGGGGTACTTAAGGAGGATAAAAAATTGATTTTGATGATTTTTGAAAGTATTTCAAAGACACCAAAAACTAAAAAATGGATCTTGGTGGATGCCAAAATGGCTCAAATCGATTACAAATGCTTTTAAATTACTTGATAACAACGAAAGGAGTTAATAAAGTTAATGAGAATGTTTTCCAGAAGATTCGAAGATTTTGGAATGTGGAAAAATGTGAATTAAAATAGTTTTAATCAACTAAAAACGTTTCTGGGATACTTAAGGAGGATAAAAAATTGATTTTGATGATTTTTGAAAGTATTTCAAAGACACCAAGAACTAAAAAATGGATCTTGATGGGTGTCAAAATGGCTCAAATCGATTAAAAATGCTTTTAGATTACTTGATAACAACGAAAGGAGTTAATAAAGTTAATGAGAATGTTTTCCAGAACATTCGAAGATTTTGGAATGTAGAAAAATGTGAATTAAAATAGTTTTAATCGACTAAAAACGTTTCTGGGATACTTAAGGAGGAAAAAAAATGATTTTGATGATTTTTGAAAGTGTTTCAAAGACACCAAGAACTAAAAAATGGATCTTGGTGGGTGTCGAAATGGCTCAAATCGATTAAAAATGCTTTTAAATTACTTGATAACAACGAAAGGAGTTAATAAAGTTAATGAGAATGTTTTCCAGAACATTCGAAGATTTTGGAATGTGAGAAAATGTGAATCAAAATAATTTTAATCGATTAAAAACGTTTCTGGGATACTTAAGGAGGATAAAAAATTGATTTTGATGATTTTTGAAAGTATTTCAAAGACACCAAGAACTAAAAAATGGATCTTGGTGGGTGCCAAAATGGCTCAAATCGATTACAAATGCTTTTAAATTACTTGATAACAACGAAAGGAGTTAATAAAGTTAATGAGAATGTTTTCCAGAAGATTCGAAGATTTTGGAATGTGGGAAAATGTGAATCAAAATAGTTTTAATCAACTAAAAACGTTTCTGGGATACTTAAGGAGGATAAAAAATTGATTTTGATGATTTTTGAAAGTATTTCAAAGACACCAAGAACTAAAAAATGGATCTTGGTGGGTGCCAAAATGGCTGAAATCGATTACAAATGCTTTTAGATTACTTGACAAAAATGAAAGAAATTAACAATTATGTTTTCCAAAATATCAAAGATTTTGGTGTGGATCAAAATGGTTTTAATTAACTGTACATGTGTTGAATAATACATTATCTCGTTGCAACGGCTTGAGTTCTGCCTTGAATTGATTTGATCACATATGCTTAAGGCCATTAATTAATTAATAGATCGATTTTCAATTTTGTGTTCATACAATTTATTGTATATAAAATGTATTACAGTGGAGTAGCTTTTATATGGGACTGTGGCCTGTTGCTACCCCCGTGTGTGTAAATAAATAAATAAATATGGATTTATTGCATGTACCAATGCAATTATTAGATTGTTTTTTTTTCTAACATTACATTAAAAAGTACTATTCAAATTATTACTCGCAAAACCCAGTTCAATAACTGGATTGGTCATTTAAACGAATGCCAATTCAGTAATTGGACCGGATTTTCATTCAATCTATATATAGGAAGTGAAATAATTTAAAGTATGCATTAAACATTTGATTCTATGTTTAATTAATTGAAAAAAATGTTTACTGCGATAATATTTGAAATTGAAATGTACCCCCCATTATTCATTCATTTCATGTTAATCTTTACTCTTTGATTCGAAATAGGAACGTTCGTGTTTTACTAATCGAGCACACGCTAACTATATCATCCCCGTCAATTAACTGTCAAATCATCATCAGCCTTTCCTGCTGCCGCGCTCGCCATTGTACGATCTCCTCTTCCACGTCCGTGCTATTCCCCTTCGTCGTTGTCATTGTCAGTGAGAGAGAGCGAATTCACGGTTACGGGATTTCAGGTTGGGTTGAAAGACGTCGCCCCCCCGTCCACCCCTCATTGTATCCCGTTACGGGCCTGCCGTAATACTATTGCTCGAAACGCCAAGCAATACGAATACGACTACTGTACCGCTGTGTAGTAGAAACATCATTATCTCTCATCTCTTCCTACTCGTGCTGCTCCTTTCTAGTTGGTCGTTTTAATGTTAAATCGAGTACAACCGGCGGTACGAAGGAAGGAAACGTCAGTTGGCGCGATGCTAAAAACAAAAGCGACAACTGGTGTTGAAGATCGCGGGATGGTAAGGCGCATGTCGGGACCGGCGCGTAATTTGCTCGACGCGGTTGCGGGGACAGATTGCGGGACGGCCGCTGCGCCCGGCGACATCTGTCCGAGTTTGCGGTGATTTACGGCGGTTAATTATTGCGCGGAAGTCCGTCCCTGCACCGCGCGGTCCGAATTAGCGCGGACCGGCCGCCGCAATTACTGAATGTATAAACAACTGTTTACCAATGGACCGGACGTGCACTGCCGCTAAAAGCAACCTAAACTGAGTCCGACGTAACGATAATAGTTGTAATAATGACAATATTTAACAATATTTGCTTTGCATTTAACAGTTACGATAGTACGGTATACCCATTGAAATGGCCCAACAAATGTCCTCTTCCTCTATAACGAGTTCGTTTTCGGTCTATGAACACACCAGAAACAATTAGTTTCGTGTTTATTAGTTAGACAGGT